TGAACCTAAAAGATGTTGGAAATAATTATAAACTAATAACATAGAAATTGATATATGTATCAATCGACTTACTTCGACGGTAACTGATTCCCCACTATTTCTAATCATTTCAATAATGATTTCTCGTGATAAATCACATACAGGAGTTCCATTGACCTTCAGCAAACGATCACCGGGTAACAAACCGGTAGAACTACCACCTGCACCGGGTTCGGCAAAAATTACCGGTTTAAAAACCGGATTTGCCAATGATTCTGTACGATCCAAACAAATGGCTTTACGTAAACTGAAACCAAAATCTTGTCGGGGAGACTTTTTGCGTCGTATAGTTAATGATCTCGCCGGTGGTAATTTAACCAACTTAATTGGAGGTAGGGGTAAATCAGCATCTTCAAATGCTTGCACCCTAGACCAGCGCTCTATACCCTGAGATTCTCCAATGGGGCTTAGTGAAAACGGCGGCGTGGCAAATGAGGAATTTGTGGTATCTGTAAGACTATCGGCGCTTGGGGAGGGTGAGGTCATCACTCTGAGATTTGTATGTGGAACATGTGTTGTATATCGAGCACTGGTTGGCAAAGTCATGGCCCGTTGTATACCACCTTCATCGCTTCGTAAACTTTCTACTGACGTAAATGATGTTCCATGTTGACTTGAACTCGAGCCAATAGATCCAGCTCCACCCATACTTCGATTACCATCAAAAATCATTTCATTTTGAATTGTATTACGAATCAGTGCATCTGGAGATGCCACCGTTATTTCCTCGTGTATATTACTAATATTACTACGAGATCCTTTGAGAATACCACGTTTAGGTGGTTTTGGCGGAACAGGAAGCATGAAACGACTCTGTAATTACAATAATAGACAAGATTAGTAGTTCTCAGACAAATGTTACAAGTATTTAACTCACCTTCGACACGTCTCCTATAACTCCCATGTAAGCTGATGATTCTGCAATGGAATGTATGCTCGTATTACCGCTACCATTATATCGACTCTCTATAGTCGTGTTTACAGATGCTACAATTTCCTCATTTCCCCGATCTAATTCACTGCCACCCGAAGCGTCCGCGTTTAGTGCCGCAAAAAACTCGGCACTATAATCTGCTGTTATTCCACTGGGCAATTTTTCCTTCTCCTTACGACGGCCTCGTATTTTAAGCGAACGTCGAACCTGTATTGCAGAAGAAAAACTCTTTAAATAGTCTTAGATTATTTTGAATTCTTACATGTATTGCCTCATCCAGTCTCAACAACTCCTCGGTACTCATACTGCCGGGAACTCCCGATGCATGTTTGCCTTCTTTGCGTTGCTTCTTTTCACGCTTCCGTTTTTCTTTTTCTTCCCTCTCGGCCTTCTCCCTATCGCTAGCACTTCCTGATGCCACTGATACGCCTTTTTTCATAAAATTAAACATCTTAAAAACGGTAAAAGAATAATATGGTCAAACTTCAGTTTTCTGCTTCCTTGTAACGAGATAATGAGATTCGAATCTTCCAAAGAATTCACATAGCGTGTTTAAAACACATACGCAAGTATACTTAAATGCACTAAATGTCCTTAAACTGGAACGAAAATAGAGGTACAAACAGGATGTGAGCATTTGCTAGAATTATCGTTTATTTTTATTTTTGATAGTTTCGATATTATCAATCGAAGTCACACATTCCATCGACACCAACTATCTATATTTGTGGGTGTGGTTACTTTTTTAAGAAAATCGTTATTTTTTCGTTATGTATTTTTTAACATATTATTGTTGTCTGGCTTACAAACCAGGCTATCAATATCTAGCGGCTTATTGTTTCTTTTACGCGTTTTGTTGTTTCTTGCTTAATTGTCTTAGATTTTTTATTCGCGTGTTCTTTTAAAATAGTTTTCACTTTTTGTCTAAGACACATAAAAATGCACAATGTTCGTAGATTGTATATACATTGTACATAGGCCTACATATAAAAATATGTGCAGAATGTTATAGTTTCCTCTTAGATTATTTGTTTATTTGTCTTACAAAAAGAATACAACTGAAAAAATAAAGATTTGCGGTTGGTTTTTGTCTTAACGTTTCAGCCTTCATGTTTACTTTTATTTATGATTTTATGTGCATTATTCTGAGATCACATTTGAAACTTCCGAATATCTACCGAATAAAAGACATTCATGCATACAGGAAACTGACAACTGACTTCTGAATATGTGTGCAACAAACACAGCCCTAGACACGTATTACAGTTATTTCAATATTCCCAAACACTTTACCGTATCGTTTTAGAAAAATATAAAGGATAATTAATATATTATTTAGTTTGTCTGGTAACACTAATGTTCTTATCAAGTTAAAAGTTATTTGTTTACCGGTAGATAAGAGCATTTTTTAATATTTAAACGGTTTTATTTTTATCTACGCAAGTCAATAATTATCTTAATTATTAGCAAATTGTTTATAATTTTATACACGTAAGTTTTCATTTAATTTTACTTTGTTTTGTCTTTAGGTTTCACATTGAGGTCTTTAGTTAGTACATTTTATCATTTGATATTTCAAACGTACGTGTGAACGGGCGTAAGTATATTATTAATCAGTGCTCTTTAACTTTCTTTTTACTTTTTTTAAAGGCTACAATTTATTATGAAAAAATTAATCAAATAAAAATATTTACATATTTGGTGTGCAAAATAATAATAAAGAAGAAACCGTGATACAAAATACAACACTGTTGTTTTAGTGTTGTAGACTATAGTAGAAACAAATTAGTCGATTGAATTTCATACACTACCAAAATGTTATTCTTGAGAGGTAATATTTTTGCTACAGGTTTTCGAAATTGCAATTTCGGCATTATATTGCCTTAAGAGAAATTTATATTGTTCAAATTCTTTTTGACACAAGTTTATTCTAGATTTAAATGTTTTATATAATCTTTCTTGTTTATGTATATAAAATACATATCGTCACCTGAAATGCAAAAGGGCGTAACAACACTTAAAAATTTTATAGGAGAGATAAAAAACTAAATAAAATGAAAACAATCGTTGATATAAAAACGTAACTTTTTTACAAAAATTATATCCAAACATCAACAGATTTGAATATGACTGTACAGCGAGATATTGCCTATTATGGTGACGATATGTACATAATATGTACCTATAAATGTTAAATAGATTATTTCAGAAAAGACTTTTAAAATATGGAACGTTCCTCATTAAAATTGGAAGAACGATTTATGTTCATATAACACAACAGTAATCATTGTTTTTGGCAAAAGTACACAGATTGTCGAAAAATCAATCGAAACAGATGAAATCAAAAACCGAATCGATACAATATATTTAAGTAAAGTAAAGATTAAAGAAATTAAATGACCAGATTTTAAGTTACGACTTTACAGGGCATTATAATTTTTTTCAGAAAATTGGAACTAATTATCAAAACCACTCATAGCATTAGGATATACAGTATTCTATGCGATTTGGTATAATTTCAGTCTAGCCTAGTGCTTGGCCCAAAATAAATTTTTATGCTAAATTTCACTTTAGTGGAGTATAAAAAGTACTGAACAACTTTATATTTATTTCTATATATACATTTATGTGTATAGGTATAAAGTGCATATGTCTGAAAAAAGTTCTATGAGGAACCGAATATCGATCCGTTGTTTTTTTTTTGCAACATCACTACTATCCACGTATTTATAGAGAGACTCACACTCGCGTAAACACACACATACTCATTCAATCGACTAAAGAAAGAAAAATCAATGCAAACAAATATGTACCAACTAATAACCAGTATTCCACAAATTAAAAAGGTTTTTCGCAAATTTTCTTTTTCCCAATACTTATCCGCACATTTTATTTTTTTGTTATTATACTTTATTTCACTTTTGCCATTGAGTTAAATCGATGTCAACAAATTACAACATAGAACATTAGATGATTTCACCCATTTCTTTTCATATTGATTTTTAGCACAACAATTTTATTTCAAAAAACAATAACAACAAAATCAAGTTTCACCTTTTTGTTGTTGTTATACCTGCAACACCTTAAAAATTAACTTTATTTTGATGTTTTGAGTTATTTTGTACAACGTAGCATTTTTCATCTATTAATTTATTTCACTCTAATAGCACAAAATACAAATTATTCACCTTATAAAAAATGTACTACTTTATTTACTTGTAAATTCAATTAAAAAAATAAATATGCGGAACTAACTTTAACTGCGAACTGATTTCTATGCAGAGGCCAGCGCGGAAAAAATCAACGGCGGTACCTGACTCTAAAATGTTTGGCGGCGGCTTAAAAACGACTATAAAATAAATTACTGTGAGCGTCATTTGAGAAAGTCTATTTGAAGAAACACATTTTATGTTCATACTATAGTATTGGAAGAAATATTTTGTATTCATTTTTTATCCCTAACCTTCGTGGGAAGAGTATATATAAGTTTTCCCTTCCGTTTGTAATTCCCATAATATAATTTTCCGACAAATTAATTCTGGATCCTTATAGATGGAGGATATCCCCAGATATCTCCGGGATCCAATAATTCAACCTGAAATGCTTTCAGGCAGCTTTAAAATTTTTTCGGCGTCCAAATCTTCGAGGGACTCTGTCTTTCTAGATAAAAAAGTAATGTCTAAATGCCACAGTTGTATACGATTGTACTAAAGTAAATAAATGGGATTATTTTTCACAACTTTCCAACACTGCTTTTTATACCGACAGTCTTATATGATTTTAAAAATTTCCGTTAAATATAATACAATTAATTTACAATAAAAAATAATACATAGTTATAAAAATATGTTTATGATTAGAATCACATATTTTTCTTTTGGCAAAAGACATCAGCGGTTATAATTGTAGCAACTACTAAATAAAATATAGATCAACAACTCTAAATTTTGAGTTATGTCAGTATTGAAGTAATGATATATTTTATGTATATACATATATTTATTGAAACATAGGTATTAGTTTAAATTATTAAATTATTATCAGTGGAATACTTATAAAAACATTTTATACATAACTTTATATACATACTTAAATATATACAGATCTAATTTACATGTCTTAATTAATTATATAATCAAAGAGAACAAAAATAACATAAATAATAGTCGAAATAAAAATAAAAAATCTTTTAAAATGAAAATATTGATACAAAATACGTACATATGTATATAACCATCTAACCACAAAGTTAAATATTATTTTATATTTATAATACATTTTTTGTTAAATATTTATCTTAAAAACATCAAATCCATAGGTACTTTCTCAAACAAACGATTCGAAATTTCGCGGAAAATTTTTCCGAAACTCTTTGCGTAGCCAGTTTTTAGTTCATTAAACACAGTTTCCCAATTATCGTTTAGAAAACGATTCATAGTTTGCGAGAGTGTGGCATCATTAAAGAGATTTTCAAAATGCATGTAGACACGTTTTGGATCAAATGAAACGCGATAATCCTTCAAGCGCATATACTTTACTCCATCCTTTTCGAAAGGCTCACCAATCAAACGATGTTCGATTTTCGAGTTTACAAGTGTAATATTTGCACGACCGTTTCCAGTAATAGGCAACAATAGTATTCGGCCAGACATTTCATAATCTCCTATCATTTCGATACGGTCTGTTACGCTGTCACAGATGATGAGATGATTGTCCAAATCGGTTCTGCAAGGTTATGAAAAGGTTCCGAGAAAAACGGCATTAATTATTTTGTCATTTTACTATTTCTTAAATAAAATTTAAACAAATCACAGGGTTTGAAAAATTAAACCTAAACTATGTTATGTTTCTATTTATACGTGAGCTTTAGTTTTGACGTTTACAAAAATAGCTCTCATAATGAAAATAAGAGACATATGCAAAGTAAATTAATAAAGTAGCGACACGAGTTGTTGTACAACAAACGTCTACAAAAACCACAGGCAATTTGTTTTTGTTCGAAATACTCATTTGTCAAAATTTGTTTACAAAAATTAACCAATAATTAATGGAAAATATGGCATTATTGTTGTACTTTCCAAAAATATGTTGTTATTTATATTAAAAGTTACAGAGTTTTCTTTATTTTTTAAAAATTAGAACATTTTTAAAAATATTATACACTTTTTCACATTAAATACAACAAATTACTCAGAAATTTGTACAAAAGCAAGCGTTAAAATGAAAACAAATATGGCAACATAAACATTTTTGACAAGTAAGTCCACAAATAGCAAGTTTAAAAAAATAGTCAGCTGTTCAATTGAGTCTACTTTATAAATTTACTTTGGACATATGTATTTGAATTCATAAAACAAGATTTTTGAGTTAGCAAGTCTTGTGTGAGAGAGATGTATTAGGGTTTTCTGTAAGCAGCACTTTTTAGAATTATGCCTCAAATGATGTGTTTATTATGCTTAAATGGGGTTTTTAATATTCAGTGATTGAAAATATATACATATCTTAGTACAATTTTAAAAATAATTTCAAATATTTTTTTGAAACTGGGAAATTTTCGAAATTTTGAGCATATTACAATTTTTCCTCTAATTATTTTACTAGTTTATACTGTAATATTTGTACATTGCAATATAAATCGACTTTTGTTATGCGAATTTAAAAAATGAATGAATCTAATGTACACACATATATACATACATGAATGTTTTATGTTTTTTACTGCACAAACCTGTATCTTTTTATTTTACTTGTCGATATCATATCATTAACTAAGACATTTTTCAATGTTTGCCTTAGATTGATTGGTGCTGTTCCTGCATCTATAACTAGTGATTTTACAGCCAATGGTTCCAGTGGTGGAATGCCAAATTCTTTATTCCCTAAAATAGATAAATGATATAAAAGTGGTGTTTTTAATTTGTCATTTAATATAGTTTTAATTTCTTACCGGTTTTTAATACTTGTATTGCCTTGTTTACCGCATCTACAAGACATTTATCAAAACTTGAATCTCGTTTGCATTTATTAAAACCCTCAGCTGTAGAATTAAAATAAAAAGTAAAATATATATTAGTAAATAGTTTTATATATAGGACATACATATGTATGTATATATGTACATAGGAAATCAAAGTAAATTTATAAAGTAGACTCAATTGAACAGCTGACTATTTTTTTAAACTTGCTATTTGTGGACTTACTTGTCAAAAATGTTTATGTTGCCATATTTGTTTTCATTTTAACGCTTGCTTTTGTACAAATTTCTGAGTAATTTGTTGTATTTAATGTGAAAAAGTGTATAATATTTTTAAAAATGTTCTAATTTTTAAAAAATAAAGAAAACTCTGTAACTTTTAATATAAATAACAACATATTTTTGGAAAGTACAACAATAATGCCATATTTTCCATTAATTATTGGTTAATTTTTGTAAACAAATTTTGACAAATGAGTATTTCGAACAAAAACAAATTGCCTGTGGTTTTTGTAGACGTTTGTTGTACAACAACTCGTGTCGCTACTTTATTAATTTACTTTGTAGGAAATTATAATTCTTAAATTTATTTATATTAAATTCCTTTTCATATACATACATATCAATTGTAATATTAATGTGTAATGGAGATTGTGTAAAAGTAGCATAAGGTAATAAGTCAAATCGATTCAAATGTGAACGTATTTAGTTTTGTTTTATATTAACGCAATTAAGAATTTTAAACATGGTTATGAAATAAAAAAAATGCGTGTAGAGGAGGAGAATCGGAGAACGTTATTTTAAAAAGTTATTTAAACCACTAAAAGCTGAATGTGTATATTTCTTAACAATTAAAATTCAAAAAGCATTGTATTTTTATTTAATTTTAACAATAAATGCAAATTTTTTGTTGTTATTAATGTTTTCCGTATATGGTAAATGGAAAATTAATAGGTCTTCTTGAACACACTTTAAACGAGCAAATAAGTGCTTGTATAGTGTATAGTTAATTTAAAATAATTGTTTAAAATGAGAGATAATTAAAAAAAAATGTGTATCTTCAAAATTTAAAATACATATTAGTTTATGTTTATATAAACATAAGAACCTGATTTAACAATAAGAAGTTTTGTTTACTTGCAGATTAAGTCCGACTGAAACCAGCAAATCAGATTGTACTGGGACTGATTATAAAAATTTCTATTATTTTGTTTAAAATAAATATCAATTCGCACCTTCCTTCATTCAATGTCATATACAGGCTTAATAATGATCGATAACTCAACAAAGATGTCAAAAACTTATACAATATTTTAACTTATTGAATTTTTTTTACGTACATACATACTATGTATGAATATCTATGACTTAATTATGCAGACAACTGTAACCAGTTTTGAATTATTCTTTTTAATCATTTCCTTCTTTTGGAGTATCATTATACCGGTAAACAATAAAATAGCAAAATTAAAACACAAAACAATTTCAGTTAGCCTAGGTCAGTTTTTAGCTAAATCGATTCTTGTATGTATATTATGTGTATTCATATACATATAAGTACATTAGGTGTATAACCTTTCTATATATTTTATATATTTTTAGTATTAATGAACTGTGAATACTAATTTGAAAAAAGTTATACCCTTAATGTAAAACAATATTTTGTATTTTCTGAAATATACATATTTATAAAGATAGTAGTGGGCTTGCTAGATCAGCATCATCAACATCATTATTATTTTTTTTTGTCTATTTCTGCTTTAAGGCTATTATTAATATTATTTTAAAATTATTTATTTATGTATGTTTTTTATTATTATTTTATTAACAAATAACGTTTTTTTATTTATGTATTTCAACTTGACATTGAACAATATTTCGTATTCGGATTGTTTAGTTTATGTGGATTTTATTAAACAAGTTTTATATCTTAATCTTAAAATTAAAAATATTTCTAACAAGAGGTAATGCATCTAAACGGAATTTTAATTTACAGGTAGTTAGTATTAATGTTTGTACATACATAGATATCCAAGAAACCCTTTTTTATTCTAATACACACAAAACAATTTGCCATAAAAGTTATCAATGTTTTCTATACAAAACTCTTGTAATTAATAAATTACATAATTATTCAAGAACACATGGGTTAATATTTAAATTATTTTTTTTAATTAATTCAGCATCACTTAACATTTCATATAATCAAATGAAAAAAGGAACATTTTGTTTATGTGAAATAAATTAAAAATTCAGTTGATTTTTAATTATTTCGCCAAGCTTTTATTTAACTAGCTTTGTTAGTTTAGTAAGGAACTTAATTTTAATCTGAATTTCGAATTAGTTCCCTTAGTTCAAACAGGCTGAAATAATTTCTACCGTTTTTGGTATATGCATATTTTTATCTTAGTTAAGATTTAATTACATATTGCAATCAGAGAAGAAAAAAATATTACGATTATTTTTAATATCATCAAAATAGTTAAGCATTTGGAGAAGCAATAATTATTCGATTTTTTTTTTTTGGAATTCTCAACATTATTTTCAAATTATCTTTGAATCTTAAAGGTTTGCGAAAATCTTTCGATTTTTTTGTTTTAATTTTTTTATGAACTAATCGTTTGCATTTAAAATATATGTATTAATATTATTATAAAAATACATTATTTTTAAACAATGCCTAATACTAGTTATAAAATAACCTATAACGTTGGCCCAATATAAAACTTACGCAAATCTTTTGCAACACAAAAAGTTGAAGCTATCAATAGCAATAGTGCAATACTTTGAAGTATTCTGTTGTTATACATGTTTAGATTAATATTTTATTGTATGTAACTAATATTTATATTACACTTTTTTCAAAATTGTTAATAATATTCAATGGGGTTTAAATAACTATAACTTTTTTATTTTGATTTCTTCGTATATTTATATTTTTTAAATTTGTTAACCACTACACTTTGAAAAATAATGTTTATTTGTTAACCGAGTTTCGCAAGACAACCGTAATGGATGGACCCGGTTTGATTTCTGAAGTTATTATCACTTTAATACTAGAAATACAATGAACGGGATGCTCTCTTGTTGGAAGCTTTTATACAAAATGCTTTAATAAAATACTACATACTTACTTACCTATAAATTACAAACATACATATGTACATACATATGTATGTATATAAAATTTAAACATATTGTACATATGTTTGTATGCATGTAGCTACGACTTGTTTAAAATATGAACGCACAAATGTATGTATGTATGTACATTGATCAACCAAAGACTTTTTGCCTTTATTCTCCGTAAAATAAAGAATTAACAAATCTAAATAAAATTTAAAGAGAGGAAGAACATTTTACATTTATACGTTTTACTTGTAATATAGAAGTGTTGAAAGGATTTAAGTGATAAATTTACAATTATAAAGGTTTGGTATTCGAACTCTGCAGTTCCAGATTCTTATATGATCCGAGTTCGTATCGAGCTGTATCACAACCGTTACGAACTAACCTCATAAATATAAACATTTTTATGATTTGTATTCAAACGTTATGTGTACATAGCGTCACCTGAAACGCAGACGGCCCTAACTAACCAAAAATTCAAAATCGATTTTATTGTTGATTCTAATGTATTGCATCAAAACAAATGTTCATATAAAAAATGGGACTCCTCCGACCAAAATTTGCGATTTTATTGTCAAAAAACAAAAGACCCTATCTACAAAACATTTAAATATTAAGGGTTAAAAGTCCAATTCATTTTTATATAGGCCATTATCAACTATCATAACATATTATAAGTTTCACTAATAAAAATGTTGTTTGTTTAATAAATAAATCGCACTAATAGAAATAAATTTTTCAATTTAAAAAGTTTAAAAAGTAGGGACGTTTGCGTTTTAGGTGACGACATGTATAAACATTCATATACATTTATAGGCTGTTTTATGTATGTATGTTAGAATGTATGTAGCTGTCTTGCATTTATTTTATACTTTGAAATGATGCAAAGGATATGCTGTATATAATTTAACACATACAGCATATACATTAGGGAAATAACTTTTGACATTGACTTGCAAATATGCAAGTTGGCAATATCATAGTCGAATAGAGTATAATTATACAATATTGGCCATCTCGTGGTGATATGCCAAAAATTTCGCCAAATTAGTTATATTCCTAATATACATATATAATATAATTTTAAAAACCCAAATTTTATCGCAAGTGCATTATGGACCGTTACAACCTACAAAACTGCAGGGTAATGCACTTATTATAAAAATGGCTCGAATTTACTCTTACTATCTTATTTCATTCATTAAACATCAAACGTAAGCTTTGGGCTCAAATATTTCGCCACAGTGACTGGTTTTTGGGTTTTCATCACACTACATTTACATTGTATTTATGTATGTATATATGTATGTATGTACTATGTATGTACAAAGATTTAGTCAATCTTGCTCATATTCATGCATATTTGTATGTTTGTATCATATGTTTTTATCTGCTAATATTCACGTGTGTATTTTAAAAAATACAAAATTTTACTAATGAATTACAAATTGTACTAACAGCTCAAAATACTGAGTTATCTGCAAAATACATTTGTTTAAATTCAATGCATGTTGGGCTGAAATGTGTCAAACTTGGCGCTTTAATTTTTAGAATTAAGATTTTTTCGTTATATTTGGTAGATTGGAAGATGAAATTTTACAGCAATTTGTAAAATTTAACTTGTGAACTTCGAAATATTGCTATTTTTATGTAAAGTGGTAAATTTTGATTTTTGATGGACCGAAATATAATACTATTTACTTACGATTGTATTTAGAATATAAGATTTTAGGAAAGTTTCAACTTGAGAACAAAAAAAGTTTATATGTATAAGGTTTTGTTGCTCCATTTTTGCGGGTTTTCATTATGAACCAAAAATTAAGCGGTGTGTCATAAAACAATGCCAAATCCCGAATATCAAAATAGCTATAACACAATACCATGTTCGAAAATTAAAAGTAATATTCGAAAAAAATTTAAAGCTGTTAAAATAACCTCAAATACATGTTGATCCACAAAAATATAATTTTAGTACTATTTAGGCCAATTTTAATATTATAATTTTTCACTCCCTGTATTGCGCTTGACTTGATACATATAAACGCTCTCATTACATACATTGAGTATTGCCCAATACTCATTTCTTTAAAAATTATTATTATTATTATTATTATTATTATTATTATTATTATTATTATTATTATTATTATTATTATTATTATTATTATTATTATTTTATTATTATTATCATTATTATTTAAGCCACTCATGCAGCCTCTAACCCACCAAAATAGGTGTAATTAATATATGTATAATATACATATGTACATATGTATGTATGTAAATATGAATAATAAAACAAAAATATTGTAAGTGTGCCGTCGAATTGTATGACAAGTATGTATAAAAAGCATGCCACCCATCCATAACTTTGCATCACGTTTTATTATTGTTTTTCTTTGTTAACTTGTTCAATTCTTGAGTGTATTGTGGTCATTAATGTGACTTAGATTGTTTATACGTCCAGTTGGCAGTTGATCAACTGATTGCCCTTCTGTTAGGGCTTTGTTTTGAGTTTAATGAACTTTTTAAGCTTTGTTTACAAACCGACCCAACCTTTTTCACAGTCGCACAACTACGAGATCGCATCTTAAGACATACGTTCATAACCATGTACATACGCCTGGGAACCGGAAGTAATTATCATGATAATACTTAGTGAACTATAATAAAATGCTATATTTTTTATTCTGATGTCTACTAGAAATAGTTAAAATGTTTTAACATACATATGCGTATACATTTACACATATGTACATATGTATGTACATACATTAAGGTGACCCGTTTGTATGAGGGAAAAATTAGTTGTCAATGTTCCCGACTAAAATTAAAGTTTAATTGATTATATCATAGCGTTTCTCGAAATTTTTGTCCTGGGGTCAATATTTGGCGAGCTAGATCAAAGGATAAAAAGGTCCTTTTTGAGGTTTTTATGATTTATTCATATTTCTTTCAAAGGAAAGATATACAATTTTTGGAACCTTAGGAAAGGTCCTTGGGAGACGATTTCAATGGGATATCAGAAATTTTTGTGTAACTGTAAAAGTAATCGAAATTTTCTAATTTTTCAATATAATTCGCTGAAATTAATACACAATAATCCTCAATAAAATCTACCGAAACGGTTTTTTCCGTTTTCCAAAATTCAATCTAGATCAAATTTTATTTATATTTATGGAAGCCTGTGTACGCTACCAAAACATTGCGATATAATGTAAATAATAACATATATAGAAACCGTTATTTACAAAGGGATAAATTGTGTTAATATTTCATTTAACTGAAAAATTTTATTGATAATAGAATGAAACCAGTAAGTGTTATATATCATTGTAGAGCTAATGAAATTACGCATATGCTGATGTATATATTAAGTACGTTAGATTAATATGTCTAGCATAAAACCTGGGACAAAATATAGTTTAAAATATTAAAATAAAATACTAAACATAACGAATTTCAAAAAACAGAAAAAGCCACTTCGGTGAAATTGTATGAGGTTTATAATGTAACAATTTAAATAAATAACATTAAATAATTCTGTGTAAAAATTTTAAAAACTAAAAAATTTTCCGAAAAATGTTGACATTGTAATAATTTTGGAGTAGTATACAAATTTGTGTTATGTCATTGAAATAGTCTCCCAAAGACCTTTCATATAATACTTAATTTGCATATAGTTTATTTGCCAGAAATGTGATAAAAATCATAAAAACCTTAAAAAGGGACCTTTTTATCCTTTGATCCAGCTCACCAAATATTGACGTTAGGACAAAAATTTTTAGAAATGCTATCTAAGAATGAACTAAATTTTCATTTTTGGCGGGAACATCAGCAACTTCCATTTTGGGGCCACCCTAATAGTATTTTGAATTGTTATTGTTTGATCATAAATGTTTTGTTTGGTCAAACTACTGTTTTTTTTTAATTATCTCACACATTATTTTAGCATTGATGTTGTTTGTTTACATAATTTCAAAGAAGTTTTAATGGATTCAAAGGAATAAACCTAAGTTTGTGTTAATTTGTTAACAATGTTATTACTAATTTATGTTACCATGGTAAAATAAAACACTGATAACAAAATTCCCCAAATGTTATCTATTTCTTAGTGTTTAATAACCGAAATAACACAAAATGAAAACAACGTTAGAATCGCAAGTTAACAATTTATTATATTACCAAAATAATCGACGACAAAGCTTATGCGAATATAAAAATGATCATACAAATGCAAATGAATTAACACAATTTGTTACAATTAATCGGAATCCAAAGAACCAAACTCAAAAGGGTTTTGGACACTCCCAAATGGCAACAAACAATTTTAGTCGTCGCAACTCTGTAGCCACTATAGATTCAACTGTATCTTCTACGAATACGTTAAGTTCAGTATTAGCTGCAAGTACAGCAACTCCAGTAGCATTGACAAACAGTCAAGTTAATAATCATCGTAAACATTCACTAAAATCATGGTCAATGTCACATTTAAAAAACGACTGTAAAGTCAATAGTAATGTTAAGCAGAATAAACAAATAAATAATTACGAGTTTACCGAACAACGTTGCAACTATGAACGAATGACACAACAACAACACTTGCAGCAGCAACAACAACGGTCATGGTCACCAGCGCAAGTCATAAGATGTAATGTTTCAAATTCAAGGACTCCAACTTGTTCGGTTGATCGGAATCAAAAACTACATCGATTGAAGACTACAAAGTTTTGTGATGCATTAAATGCTGATTTTTTAGCATTAAATGAGTTTCGTATTCAAAATAGTAAAGACTGTTTTTCTGATATCCATCACCGCTTACTGCAATCACAAACACCACCTGCAGCAAAAGGCTCTATCGGAACACAGCCATTCGAATTGAATTGGTTTTCCAATGATAACGACGATGTTAGTAAGACCTTGAAAGACAATGAAAATATATCAAAATCACTGGCTTCCTCATTCTCGTCATTATCACTAGCAACGTCAACCACAATGCCATATATCGCCCGACAACGCATATTGCGGGAGCAATTGGCTAAGGAGTATCCTCATCGAAAGTCTATAATTTTGGGTATAAATAAAAGCGCAGCTTTAAGTTATCAATTATAATATTAGTTATGAAAAGTAAGATGTTTGTAACATGCTATACCTAGTCCATACATTCAGTTCGCCCATTTGCAACTAAAGGTGGTTTTGAAGTTACCCAGCAAAAAATAATTGATGTCATACTTTACAAACTACATCTTAATCACATCTTAAAATGCGATTACATATTTTTCACTTTTATAAACCAAATATTTCCTTACAAATGAAACCCCAGTTAAAAGTGAGGAAAGAGATGTGGAAAAGTCATTACAAATAACATATTTGAAGTACATCAAGATTTGGTGAAAAAGTAGTGAAATTTACATAAGCGTGTCATTAAGAGAATGTGTTTTATTTTTGACATCCAAATATCGGATTTTTACTGCTTCTAAAAATAAGATCAGATGTAGTTCAAAGTTGCCAAAAATGAACAACATCCCTCCAATGACACGCTAATGTAAAATTCATAGGTTTTACACCCGAATTTGAAGCACTTCGGGTTACTAGTTGTGATGAAAATTCTACATCTTTTTCCACACTTTTTTTGCTGGGTAGTAATAACTATATACAATTTTAGTCCAAAGTGAAAATTTTTCTAAAAGTTATTTGAAGAAAATTTTAATTTTAAAGTTACAAATGAGCAAAATATTGACAATTTCATCTTAATTTATTTATTGGATTATGTACATACTAACATCCACATTAATAGTTTTAAATATTTGATAAATATACATATGATATTTATTCTATGATTTATTGTAGATTTTAATTATAACAAATATCTTAAAAAAATCGGGAGTGGCTTTTATAGAAAACTAATTTATTTATGTATTTCAGTTTGCAAACATTAATCTGCTTGATTAGAATGATAAGCAAATGTTATGTACTTAAGTTTGTTAGTGTTAATTTCAACCAGTCTCTTGAAATTAAAATAATCTTAAACGATTTAATTACACCCTGTAACAATTTTGAAAAAAAGCTTTCACACATAGAAAAGTTGATATGCATGAGAAACTAGAGTCCATCTTTAGCAATTCTGCATACTCCGTTTTTTATAATCAATTCTTATGTCCTTATAAAAGGACTCCAAAGTTCAAAGGACTGACAACTTCAAACAAATATTTTAAATATTTGAATGTGATGTATTATGCTAATATTGATATCAAATGAAAGCTGGGAATCTGCACATTCTATCTGCATTATTTATTTGACTCACGTAGACAAAAAATCTAAAAAGAAATTAAATTTTAGAAAGATCTCATTTTCGAAACAAACAGTTTTAAATACATTTTTGTGACAAATTTTCTTTAAGCTCCCTTTTCTTTTTTAATCATGATGAATTGAAAAAAATAAAATTATTTTGCAGCAGAGATAGTCAGCTTCATTTGATGTTAATACCAAATTTTTTACATAAATTTGGAATTCTATCTTTTGAAATCGCATGTCCTTTAAACTTTAAGGTCCTTTTACAGGGGCATAAGAGCTGATTATGAAAAACTGAGTACACAGAGTTAAAACAAATGGTCCATAGTTTTCTGTACACATAGATTTTTTTACGGCCAAACGGCCCTAACTAACCAAAAAATCAAAATCGATTTTATTGACAAAAAACAAAAGGACCTATCTACAAAAACATTCAAATATTAGAGTTAAAAAGTCCAATTTATCCATTTTTATATACGCCATTACCAACTATTATAACAACTGATAGGTTTCACTATCAAACAATTTGTTTATTTACTACAAATAAATCGCGTTGATAGAAACAAACTTTTCAATTTAAATAGTTGTTTGCTTCTCGTGTAAAATTTTAAAAATGTTAGATAGGGCCGATTGCGTTTTAGGTGACGTAATTTTCTCTATTTGGCAACTATGATATATACTTTTGCTACGATCGTAATGCAAAATATATACAATCGTAAAGCATTTTTTTTGCGGAAATGGAAATGCAAAACAGGGGTTAATATCGAGTTCTAATAGCAGTTTAAATGGACATTCAATCAATTTCAATTTAACTTCGGCATTAGTCCTCGTCGCTCAAACAATAGAAAATTCCTAAAACATAACAACTAATATACATATGCTCAATTGTAACGCATTGAAATACATATTAATGTAACCAAATTAAAAACAGGACATTTTCAGTATTTCGTTTGTTTTTGTTTAAAATTTATTAAAAATTTTATTTATATAACTTGTTTGTTGTTTCATTATTATTATTATTTTGTTTTTCGTTTTCCAAAGTATTTGTTTTTCTATAATTTAATGTGATACATAAGAGAAAATTTAATAATTTGAATTTATGCTTCATGAATGTATGTTTATCCGTTTTACGCCTTGTATAGGTGCTGTTTGTTGAGGATATACACACATGCGTACATAATACATACATACATACATTTTATAAGTTTGTTTTATTTTTCTTTATTAATTAATTATAAAGTGCCTCTTTTTTGTTTGTGTAAATGTAAGTTCATTTTTAAGGTTTTTTGTTAATTCTTTTTCTTATTTGTTTTTTTCTCCACTTCGAAGTATGCTGTAGTATTTTTAACGCTTATAATATACAATTACAATACATTTATTTAATTATTTTATATTTATTACATTTCTTGCCTGTGAAACGGTGTTTTGTGTGAAAGTGTGTGTGTATAAATATTATAAATAGTTTGAATTTCTTTGAACTAAACGATTTTGTGTATTGTTGATAAGAACAAAAATCATTTCAAATGTTTTAGTATTCGATTGAAACAAATTCGTTTTTTATTATAATTTATTATATTAAAAAATATTCGTGTTCGTTTGTTTTTCTTCTTAGTATTTGAATGATTTGTTGCTTAAAAAATCTGGTGTTGATTTCTATTTGGTGTAAAAATTATCATTTTAAGTTGTAAGGATGTTCATTATGTTAAGAAAAATGAAATACAAATACAACTAACAACTTAAAAAGAATTGTAGCTTAAAATGAAAAATAAAATACAAAACTAAAAACAATAAGTTATCTTAAAATTATTTTTTTTAACAAAAATACATTCTATGTAAAAAAACCAAAAGGAAGCATAAAAATAAACACATTAAAAGTGGAAACAATTCAATTTGTTAAACAAAAGTTCTAAAAATGTAGACATTTTTAATTAGATTAAAAAATTAATATTTATGTATAATATTATTGTACAAAACGTATCAGTGTATGTGTATGGGAGTGTGTTTGTGTTAACATTTTGTAGATTTTACTTTATTAAATGGTGTTTTCATTTTTTTATTATAATTTATTAGTTAACCACACATTTGGGTTTGTAAAAATTTTTGAACATACTATTTGAACTTTGAACTTATTTCTTTTTGTTTTTATTATTGGCTCCTCTTGGAGGAGTTAAAGGTCGCCCTGAACTTCCGAAATTAGGATAAACAAATCGCCTTTTATCAGCAGGTTTCAATATTTGGAATGAGCACATTAAAGTGTCATCCACGGACATCATGGCACCTAAGAGAGTTTAGTACAGACACATTATTTTCAATTGTAAATTGCAAAAAAACAATATGACTACACATACCCGCATTATCAAATTCTCCACAATAATTTGGTGCTGAGAAAAGTGTGACAAGTTGCCGTTTAGCAAAAAATTCATACCCGTCTTCGACAACTTGATGAGCACGACAAATTAAATCAAATTCGTGTTTTTGTAAAAATTTTCCCACAACCTTATGGAATACACAGTGGAATAAATGATTACTACTTTGATAAAACAATTAATAGTTAACATACCTCTGCACCAAATGTAAAACTGACACCACGATCATTTTCTCCCCATCCCATTGTATCTTTATCAGGATCTGACCATAAAAGATCACATAAAAGGCCTTGATCGGGTACATCAGTAGGTCGCATGATACGTCTTATTTGCTCCATTGATGTAAGATCCGGACTAAGACCGCCATGGCAGCAAAATATTTTTTCATCCACTGCAATTTCAAAATATTTTTGTAGTAATTTCTATAAAACATATCAAATTTTCTTTAATAACCACTTATTACCTATAGCAGCCACAGGTAAGCAATTGAAACAATCTGTAAAAGTTTTCCATAATTTAATGGTGTAACGTCTTTTACACTCGTCATAAAAACTAAAAGAAAAAATACAAATTACTCTCTAATTAGTTTCTTTTATAAATCAATGACACCACAGAAAAATATGACCATCTTTTGTATTTATATTTTTTTCCTTATTCCTTCCTACAAAATCACTCTAAAACGTAAGCTTACCCATAAATTCGATTAATGCTGGCACATTCATGATTTCCACGTAGTAAAAAGAAATTTTCAGAATATTTGATTTTGTACGCCAACAATAAACATATTGTTTCCAGAGACTGTTTACCACGATCTACATAGTCACCCAAAAACAGATAATTTGATTCTGGAGGAAATCCGCCGTATTCGAATAGACGCAAAAGATCATAATATTGTCCGTGAATGTCACCTACAAAAAAAACGATTTACATTTAAGTTTTTCTTCACATTTGTTAGTTAAATTTAATTTTTCAAGCTGTTAATATAAACAAGACAAAAACTGGGATGAGTGAAATTTAAAAATAAAATAAAATTTTTTGTTAAGCTTAAGGTCCTTTTAAAATAGCAAAAAAAAATATATATTATATACCTACAAATAAAGAAATGTTTCGTTCATATATCGATTTTTGTATTTGTGCAATATATATGACATTAGATTCGAATAGTTTTATGAATTTCATTAGCATTAGTAGAAAATGCTTTTTAAAAAAAGTACGATTTAATAATGAAAATTATTTTGTTTTCAGTATAATTATATTAATTAGTATAATTTAATTATCAAGGAATATTGTTTTAATGAGAACACTTGATTACAGTGCAAAATTATGTTCGAATAATCGAAATTAAATTCATTCCAAAAAAAATTGTATTCTTTTTTTATGATCAATACAGTACAATTTAATTAATTGTCCTTAGTTATTTTATATAGTTAATTATCTTTTTTAATAATTTAGTTCTTAAAATTTTTTTTTAAAATTATATCATTATGTCTTGAAAGAATCATTGTTAAGTAGAAATTCGTAACCGCTTATGGCCTATAGGCTAGGTTATTGAGTATTGTTGAATAAAATAAAAATAAAAGAAAAATAAAACAATCGAACTAACTACCAAGTAAAAGGTTTGTGTTAAAGTTATACATAAATCTATGAGATTTTAGAGTTATTAAAGACATATAGGTATCATCTATCTGTATGTAAGAGTGTCCAGAGGAACTGCTTTATGTGATTTTGTTGTTGGCACAAGTCTTAAAAGACATGTATTTAATATCCTGATCTCAGCACGAAATGGGTCTTACATTTCCTAATTATGAGCTCATTGTCCCGCTCATTATGAGAGGCATATAAACCAAAGGAACAAAAATAACGCTAAATAATTATGCAAATATTTTTAACGTAACAAGCTAATTACGAAAATTTTAATACACATTTCGAAAAAATCAAAAGCTTTATTTATGTTCCCCGTAATGCCGTAGAATTCTTTCTATTAGGAAATTTTTTAAATACATTTCGGAAATTTAAGAATTTTTTTTGACAAATTATACTGAGATTAGGATTTTCATCGCTGATAGGGAATTGAGGACGTTTTCAAAATTTTTTTCCCGTTCACGGAACACATATATAGGGATCTTTAGGGCTACAAAAGCTTACTTCGATTCAGTTTGGTCATAACTGTGTAAATATTTTATATTCTTTCAAATTATTGGAGCATATTGTCAGAAGTTGTAAAAGCGCAATTGAACCTTAAATATTAAATAAAATACATTAATTTATTAATTAGTCAAGAGATAAATATTAGATACCTATTCAAGAAAAATCTATATTATTCAAATGTATCTAGTCTTAATAGTAGATTTATTTAAAAACCGAATTTTTACCCAAACATGTATATATCGTCACCAAATACGCAAAGATTTATTTAAAAACCGAATATATCGTCATCAAATACGCAAAGACCCTAACAAAAAATTCAAAATCGATTTTTTAATTGACTTTAATGTATTCAATCAAGACAAATGTATGTCACCATTAAATTTAGAACCCCTCTGGCTAAAATTAGCAATGTTATTAAGAAAAAACAATCGATCTACCTGCAAAAGTGGCCTTATCTACAACTCTAAAGTTTAAACTAAACATTCTCATATTCGGCATTGCCAATTGAAAATTAAGGAGTTTTACCTTTACAATTTATTTTGGACATAACTATTTTATTGGTCAGATAATTAATAGAAGAGTTGTAAATGAGTTCCAATTTTTAGACAAAGAAAAAAATCTTTTACATATCATTACTCAGAAAACTATTTTAGTATTGAATTTCTTACTTTGGAGCCTCGTTAAAACCCAAAATTATGAAAAGTATGTAAATGTGTTGTATGTTTTTTTTTTTATTATCAGCATTTCTTACCACATATTTTTAATGGAGCCTCTAATTCCAACAAAATGGGTTGTGAAAGAAAAATTTCTCTAGACTTTAAACATAATCCTCGTATTTCACTCTCAGATAGTTGTACATTTTTTCCTGGCCTGGCGCCACGTACTGAAAATAATAAACAAATACTTGTTGCAAAAAAACAAAAAACAATTTTTAGAAAATACCTTCCAATAATCTTGATATAATGCTATCAATATTCATGTCGGACATCTCTTGCCTTTGGTATATTTTTCAATGATTTCCTCTTCCCTTAAATCCTCTGTTTTGCTGATGACTTTTATTATATTATCAACGGCTACTAACGTATATTGATGCTATTATTTAATTAACTGTTATAATTCCAGATTTTTTTTATATTTTTCACGTTAAATTAATTCCCTGTTTTTCCTTTTATTTTCTTATTTCACAATTTGTTCACTTTTCTTTTTGGTATACTTACTACGCACAAATTGATACTGAAGGGCGGGGGAACGAAAAGGAAGAGCTTTTAGGCAAGAAAATTGTCGGTATTTGTAGATGGTTAATTATCGTTCTATTATTTCCGCAAAATCAAGATCGGCCAGGATTTCTACAAATTGTGCGTCGTATTTAATTCATTTATTTTGCACTTTTTGTGCATTTATAAGAAATATTTATATAAAAACTCAGATTTGATTGAAAAAACAGATTTCTTAGCACGACACGAAGACAAGCAGCAAAATTCTGCGCCGATAAATGTTTACGTTGGCGGCGGCAGACATTAAAAACTTTAGAGGCGGCATAAAATCAATTATTAGCCGGCTAAGTTTTCAACTTTATTTCATATTAAAAAATAAAAACACCTCTCACGAGCATATAACAGAATCGGTACAAATTCAATTAAAAAATTTAACTAAATAAAGGTCGAAAAGTCGAGTTGGGAAATCGTTAGGGTTATAAAATTCGACTTTTTGTACCTAAAATCGAATGTCGACTATTTTGTTCCAAAAAAATCGAAAACTCGACTAAGCGTAGGACAAAAATCGAAAAATCGACTTTGTAAATTAAAGTCAGAAAAGGTCGATAAAAATTGCCTCAACTATAGTAGAAAAAAGTCTGCAAATTCGAAAAAAGCTGTTTTTATCTTTTAAAATGTATGCCTTTGTATACTTTGTAGGGTTCTTTAGTTAAAACAAAAAGTCGACATTTCGAATTTTGTGTTTTATGAAAAGTTGACTTTTCGAACTTATTCCAACTTTTTTCGACTTTTTCCAAATATTTTCGACTTTTTCTAACTATTTTCGACTTTTCTTCCGACTTTTCGATTTTTTCAAGTTTTATTTTTTACAAGATAGTCGATTTTTCGAATTTGTTAGGACAAAAAAGCCGACTTCGAGTTTTCCGACAAAAATTCGATTCTTCATTCTTCATATATTAAAGTCGATTTATAGATACATGTATATATATACTTTGTGACCAACTGTTATACAAACAGTATTCTATAATATAACATAAGAAAAATTGTCGCAGTTAAAATTTGACCGTCGAATGTAATTTCTAAAATAAATATTCTATTACAATATGCCGCCGACTAAAATATTCGTTGCCGCTGATTTTCTTTATATAAATAAAAGTTTGTTGTGATTATTTTTTTGTTGGAATCAGCATTTAATTCATAAATTCCGTGAACTTTCGCAATCAATGTGAAAACTATAAATACGATATAAATTACGAAAATACTACAAATCCTTGGTAAGATTAGAAGGAATTGATTTATATGAATATATATTCGAATTAGATGTGTTTTATACCAATCCTTATGTCTAATAATTATTGTAAAAACTTGATAATAATAAATATAACAATTAGAATTACAACAAATCTCGCTTAGGTAGGTATAATTAATTTTATGATGGAGTTAAAAAAGAAACAGTAATTGTTTATGTTTCCATCAGGCAATAGTGCTGCCACGAATTGAGTTTTGCTCCTACGACACTATTCTAATAAGAAAACATTTAGTTTACAAGATATGTAATTATTAGAACAGATGTCAAATATATCAGTATCGATGGTTTAGTTCAAATTGGGCATATTAAATTGGAAAATCCTATAAGAGAAGTTTGCCCTTAAACGAAACAAAAATTAAGTTTTAATGATTCATGATTTATAGTCCTTGTGATTTTTAACATTAAAAATAGTAAAATTTTCGGACATATTGCATGTGATCCGTTGTCTTCATGTTTGAGGAAATTAATTTTCAACTAGTGTAAAGGAACAAATTGAAAATTCAGTTACAAATTTTTATCACCGCTTACAAATTAACTTAGTAAGTTAAAAAAATAAAAAAAAAATAAATATTTTTAATGAATGAACGAACGGCCTTGACCGTTTGTCTTAAATTAAAAAAAAAATGATTTCAAAAAACGTGCAAATATTTAACAAAAAAAAATAGAAACGACAACAAATGTCTAACGAAAAAATGAAGGTGTAAATAATTGGGGAAAAAATTGAATACACATTTTAAACTTTCTCTCGTCATTTTAACTGAAGATCAAAATGTTAGGTGTGCTGCAGACTAGAATAGCTAATACGTTTTGCTTGTATATTAATTGATGTTATTGCGAATTGTAGTTATTTACTAAAAACTAGTTACCGAAACAAATAAACAAAGAGACAAGTAACCAGTTTAAAGTTGTACTTTTTCTTGATTCTTAATTGAAAACTATTTTTCGACTTACTTTCTATGGTCAGTTATAAACACTCTCGCAGGCATATAAAAACAAATCTCTTGATTAAGATAACATAACAAAAATGATCACATAAAGTAAACAAGTCAAACCAGTGTTTAACTGTCTATGTACCTGTTGTCTAAATGTTTGTTATTGTTTTTATTTCCAACTAAATGTTGTATAGATGGTACAAAAACTCGTATGAATGTTTATAGTACATATTTTAGCTGGTAGATCACACTTCCATATGTATACATATAGATAGTATGTGTTCAATTTCTTACTCCGCTTCCACTGTTAACACAATTTTGTTGTATTGAAATAAAAACATCTAGCAATAAACTCGCTCCCCCAGATAATACAACAATTTTCTATACTTATACCCAACCATTCAACCAGTAGAGCAAATATGCTCCAACTGGTCTATGATCGTAGACTATGACTTGGTTAACACAGCTAAATACGAAACAGTTTTATTTCAACAATCAACCGTGTCACGCGAAGCTCTGAAAGTACATATTTACTATTGGCAAATTGACAAAATAATAAAATATAATACAAAATTTATAATTTAATAAATGAATAAACTTCTTACGAATATTTAAAAATATACGTATGTATGTATGTATAAAAATGTATATTTTATAAAAAATTAGGAATTTATACACAAATCAATAAAAAGTAAAAAAAAAAATACCTAAACAACAACGAAATAAAAACTTGTTAGCATTCCAAACATTTTTAATTTGCATATGCAAATTCAAAGGTATTCTCTCTAACAGCTTTAATGTTGTCAATAAATATTTATGTACAATATGTGTACATACATATGTATGTATGGTATGTACGTATTTAAAATTATGCGTACATACATATATGTACTTCGATGAAACATTAACTTTTTAAGATTCAATTCAATAAGCCAAAATTAAATGCATTTTAAAGATGCATAAAAGTATCTAGTTTAAAGATGAATGGAATCAAAAGTAACCTGATAAGTGCGTATTTTTATAGAATATGTATGTATGTATGTATGTATGTATCAACGTATCTCTTGTTGCAAAAGAAAATAATATTATTTGCTATGTTATGCACTACAACCAAATATTTATTTTCGAATAGAGAAAATTGTTGTACTTTAAAGAACGAAACCTAATATTCTTTCACATAATTGTATGTAGTGACTGAATAAAAGATATACAGTAGTGGAAAAAATATACAAACAGGTGAAAAATTTAGCTTAAAAACTGATATGCTTAATTTATTTGGATTTTGTTTGTTCTTGGGAGCGGGAATTTACACCAACCAAGCAGTATCATATAAAGTAAATTTGGTTTTGCAAAGGAAATTGAATTAAATTCATATTGATCTTTTTAGAAAATATTAAAATAGTATTTTATTGTGTTGTAATTAATTAATCCATATTTGTTTTATGTATGTACTTACGTTTTATGACTATTTCTAAATAAAATTATTTTTCAAAGAAAATGCCTCAAACTAACTCCCTGCCATCGATTGAACAAAAATTACTTAATGTTATAGCTGGTCAGGATTTAGGCGATATAACACAGGAATTGTGTGATTTTTCATTGGAAGAGCAAAATGCTACAGCGGAGGCCCAAGGCATACAGCCAAGTGCAGCGTCCGATTTTACACCAGTTTTGGGCAAAACCGTAACCTACATAGTTGCCTGTGTCTTATTCAATGAAGACAATGAAGTTTTAGCCATGCAAGAAGCTAAACAGTCATGTGCAGGTATGTTAAACTACATGCGTTTTTCAAATATACATATGTAAAATGTTACACAAATATTTATCTATAAAAAAGTCAAATAAGTCAATAGGACTTATGAATGAATTTATGCTAAGAAATTATAATATATGATAGCCTTTTTTCGAGTTTAATTTATAATATGTAATAACTTAATTGCTCAAACTCACATTTTCTACTTTGTCATTAATATGTAGATTGGTTTTTTATACCACTTAAATAAAAGCAAAGGCATAAAATAGAAATTCCAAATTAAAAGTCTTAAAAAAATATACCTTGTATGTTAATCACCCCTATTCTATATTTCAATTTGAATCGAAATTTTCTCCGTTTGGCAACTTTGGTATTCTGCATTTCGATTCGAAGCTCCGTCACTAAAATAACAACTTACAAAAACTTACACACAATCGTAAAGTATTGAAATAAAAGCAATTGCTTCTTTTCTAACGATTCCGTTTTTTTGTTGGAATACCAATTTTCGATCGTAGCGTAACTGGATGCGGATTCGTAATCGAAATGCAGAATAGGGGTGAATATTAAAAGATTAAAGTGTAAAATTATACAAGTTAATTTTAACTTCGATAAACTTGGAATTTAATCTCGTATTTTCGAACATAACATTGCATAGATTTTAAATACACAACATTAATACATAAATGTATTTTCAAGAAAGTCTTAATTATTTTTATTTCAGGAAAATGGTATCTTCCTGCTGGACGTATGGAAAAAAACGAAACCATCTGCGAAGCTGCCATTAGAGAAGTATACGAAGAAACTGGTCTAAATTGTGAAATAAGTACTCTTTTAGCAATAGAGGCTGCGGGTGGTTCATGGTTTCGATTTGTTTTGACGGGTCGAATAACAGGTGGGTCATTAAAGACACCAGCACAAGCTGATAGCGAATCCCTCCAAGCAAGATGGGTTGCCGATATCAAAGAATTACCACTGAGGGCAAACGATATTTTAAATATCATAGATATTGGAAAAGCTTATGTCAGCCGCAACCATTCACCACAACCTGCTTTATGGCATAACGAAATCATTCCTACCAAATATTCCCATCACAAGAATTATTTACGAGTTGTGGCCGTGATACGCAAAAGAGCAACAAATGCCCTAAACGTTTTGGTGAGCGAAAAGAATGTACACCATTTTCCAACCGTCGAAGTTCACCCTCAGAGAAGTTTGCACTCAACTTTGCGTAAATTCATGATTGAATTATTTGGTGCCGAACTTCCCCAACATCGTCCTCATGGCATTTTGAGTGTGGAACATTGCCCATCACCACCTCCTCATACCACCGATGGCATTTGCTTAAATGTTTTAGTCGTATTTAGGCCACCACTAGAAGAAGTATCGCTAATTGGAAAGTGCACTTGGCATGAGTTGAGCAAAACGCTTGAGGAAAAACTTGGACGTATTCTTTCCAGTAAACATTCAACAATTCCTCTAAATGTTATTCGATAGACATTTATTAAATAAGATTATATTGTATGATGATTTGGAAATGTAAGACATTTTGTAAATAGTTTTTAAATTTTCTTTGTTATTACTTAAATATTAGCCATTTAAAATATACTCCCCAGTGTACACATTTTCGGGAACACCGCCATAACTTATGCTTAAAAAAATATCGTTTAGATTTAATACAAAACAAAACTGAATAAAAGTACTATTTTTTGCTTTACTCAAAACGTTACTATTTGACTTATGACGGTCTTCTTGCAAATGTGCAGTGAGTACATTGAGTTGTAAATTGGCTTAATCAGTTAATTAAAAAAAGCTTTAATTAAAACAAAAACACAATATATATACATATATAGTAGTATTTATTATTATAAAGTTTATACATGGTTGTTTTTAAGAGTAATAAACAGAAAAGTTTTTGAGTTTGTGTAAAAATATATTTATACACATGTCCATATACGTAATATTTATTTAAATGCAATTTCCAAAGAATGTTTCTTTTGCATCACATTTATAACAGTGTCAATCTTAAAAAAAAAACATTATCTACATACGTGCACATACATTATGTAACTAAAAAGTAACTAGCAAGATGTTAATAATTAACTGGGCATTGACTAGTATAGCCAACAATATTTTAATATATAAAGGAAATAAACTAAAAAGTACATAGTTTAAGTCGGATTTTATCGATGAAATAAATCATTTAGTCTTTCCACACTTTATTGAATAAATCCATAAATGAGTCGTAAATCATGAATGTTATGGCCACATCAAGACAGACACGACCTAGGCGAGGTACTGTGCCCTTATAGAAAGCGGTAACACCTTCATTCTTCCAAATTTTCATGGCACAATCGGCAGTATTTTTGTATTTGGCGGCTTCTAAACCTTGCATGCGAGTCTTGACTACATCCAAAGGAGTATTACCAAACACAGAAGCAGCACCGGCAAAAGCACCGAATGCACCAACCAATAATTTAGGAACTGGTTTATTTTTGTCATCACCCTTATACAGGTCCTTAAGAGATTCCATAACAAAGAAGCGAATTGCTTGATTGGAACCCTGTTTCAAAATGGTAGGCGTCAAACCCTTGTAAATGCCGCTAATACCTTCAAAAACAAAAAATTAACTTTACTGATTGTCCTTAGCCCAAAACTGAAAATTCTAATTCTACCTTCTGCTTTTATGATGCAACCTACACCATGGGCAAATCCTTTATATTGAGGTTTCGCACTTCGCTGATCATTAATAAACTTCACTTTAATGGTCTCCATGGGTGTTACAGCTAACACAGCTTCACATACACCAGCTCCCAAACCAGCCAACAATTTTCCAGAAGTACTCAATTGGCCGTTCGCATCAGCCATATGACCACGTAATGTTTCGAATGCACCAAACCTGTAATAAAAAGATAAATGCATTAAGTTCATTCATATGATTTTCATTACATGAATATACCTAGCTGCCGATTTCGGTATACTTCCGTATAACAAAACACTCAAACCTCTGTAAAGCCCAAAGAAACCTCTTTGTTTGACTGTCTTTTTCACGCAGTCAGCGATGCCGTTGTATTGTTTGTTGGCACCTTTCTCATCCAATTGCAATTGTGTTTTGACATATTCCGTAGGGTAAGTTATGCAAATCTCTATGCCGCCGGTAATACCTCCAGCAATTATACCTTTTAAACCTTTACCGCCACCACTGGGAGCTGCAGCGCCAGTCTGTGCCATCCAGGGACGCTGGCCAAAGGGATTGACGAAGGCACCAATAGGACGATCCATTATTATAACTAGGATATATTTAGTTATTTATATACACGTACGGAATGAAGCTGTAAGTAAAAATATTCAGATGTTCATTAACTTCAAATGTTAAAAAAATATATTCAATGTTCATTGTTTTATTATATGATCCTTAATCGGATAATTATCCGATTAATTATCCATTTATAATTGGTTTTAATATATTAATTTAAATTTTTTTAACAAAAAGTGTGTAAACAATGATAATTTACTCTTCTATTAAAATGTTTGAAAAAGATGTAACCAATATTTATATGTAGCATATTTTATATAATGACCTTCAACTATTTAAACTTAAGATTGTTTATATAAATAAACGTACGTTCCAAGAAAAAAAAATATTTTTATCAAATGTGAACATATCGTACGATTTAAGCTTTTGCTGTTAATTAAGTTTAAATTATATTGGCGATGACACTTATAAGTATACATACATATACTTACATACATAAGTGTACTAAATTACAAATATTCAAATTGTTTGAATTTATGCACCTAACCATACATACATATTTCGTAATATTTCGCTTTTTATAATTTGTTGCATTCGAAACTTTCTAAACGTATTAAAAACTTGCCTGCATATTTGAATTTCAAAATGTATTTTTATTTTTCGAAAACTATTTTCATAATTTCTTCAATATTAAGATTCATTCCTTTCTTTCAACACAATTTTTGGTATAATATATAAAGTCTATTTGATCGTCAGTGCGAAATGCTTTTCTTATTCTTAAATTTAAATCTACAAATAATCCGACAGGATCGGGTGATTAACACCTTTGGATTGTTAAGTATGTTATGTATGTAGGTCAATTTAATACATGTTACATACGAATCAAGTTTTAATATAGTGTTTAAGTAATGTCATCTCTTATTTCTTTAGTTTTTTTCCAAATGATATTCACATTTTTATTTATATCATAATTCACATCACTAAATTAATTATGTACATTCGAATGTATAACGTATGTTTAAAAAATGCTCTTGACTCTGAAATAATCTATACATACTTGTACTGATAGCGTTTTAAAAGTAAAATACGAACATACAGACAGACATATTAATATACATATACATACGTACATATGTATGTATATAATTTAGGTAAATATTTATAAACTGATATTTGCGTAAAAATGTATTTTGCAATCTTTGAATTTAGTAGAGTTATGTCATAAATTTAATAAATGTTATTAAAGAACAAATTATGTTCAATACAATTGTTATATAATATTTCTTCCAATTTACATATTCAAATTCGTAAACAACATTTAAAGTTTGTGTAGAAATTGTATGAGTATCCAATGGATAGTAGTGTATTTAGCTTATTGCTTTGCAACTATCAGAATGTTATTTTATTGAGATAGTATTTAATTCAAAAGAGTATCTATGTGTAGTAAATTACTCTTTTGCGATCTTCCAAAAACTTTCCCGCACTACGTCATCGATTTTTTTGTTTTCCTTTTGTTTAAAGTATATGATCATATATTATATATAGTATTGAATTTTTAATATATTGTTATACTTATAAATGGCGATTTAAAACAAAAATGAAATATTAAATTACTAAATAATTAACGAATTTAAATATTTTTATTACATGAGTTTGGAATTCTTCGGACACTGTTCGATGATAGGTTTTTATTAAAACGCGTTCATTAAAGTTTGTTTTTATTCCAGCCAGTCAACCCGATTGTTGTCCACAGACAAAAAAAAGAAAAACAATCGTACGATACGGTGCCAATCAAGCAACTACTGTGATCGCTAAACTAATTCCAATTTCCAACCTATATTGTTTTTTTTATATTTCACTCATCTTTGGAGAGTCGACTAAACACAAGCAACAATAACATTAATTTTGTATATTGTAAACGTATGTATGTATGAATAAGTTTATTTATGTATATATGAACATGGGAATGTATATACAAATATACTACGTATTTTTTAGCTCTAATATGTCATACCATACGATACTCTCTTCAACCAAACCAAACAACAACGAAACCAATATAATAAAAAGTCAGAGACTCAACCAGTCGCCCAACCAACCTACCAACAGTATGGAATACAGTGATGTTGAAATATTTTATAAACACAGTCTTGTTAAACAATTTTGATTTGAAAAAAATTAGATGTCTGTACTAACGTTACTTATTTGTTATTCCACCTACACCAAAGACAATGAATCGTTTTATGTTCCGGATTCTCATGGATTTCTCTTTATGCTTAATTTGTCTATCTATATGTGTGAAAATAGCTTAAGTTTCTCACGTTTATACTTGAAATGTATTCGTATTAGCCAAACATGAGTGTTAAAGCTTTATTTGTGACGTAATATGGGCATATTTAAGAGAAAATCATAAGGGACCAAGGCATATAGAAAAAACGTATAGCGGAAACTGGAAAAAAGCTCAAACACTAAAAGCTTAAAAATAAACATATCGTTCATTTACTGTAAGACTGGAATAACTCATACATATTTCGGCTTTTTTGGATTTAGTTATATAAAGTATGTGCGCCTCTATATAAGAAGTCGGATCGCCCAAATATATTAACCTTGACCTTTTAAATTAGTTACATTTTTCAAATCCCATGATCTGTTAAAAAGTTATTTATGAAATATGTAGTAAAATGACATAAAATATTCAGAGTCCTGTAGTAAATAATTGATATGAATTCCACGAATTTTATTTAAAAGTGTTTCTTCCTTTAGGTTTCGGTCAACGGATTTTCTCTATGATCAAGGGTTACTATAAAATTTGAACTCGTTTCGCTTACCAGAAATTAATATGTATAATGCTTTTTAACTTTTAATACCATCATTTCGGTTTTATTTAGTAAAAATTACATGTCTTAATTATACCGAATGTTTACAAATAATTAACATTGTCTGTGTAAAGATTTCCTAAATGAATTACAATAAAAATATCTTATATTTAACTTAAAACAATTCAATGTTATAGGTTGTATTAAATTTTAAGTCCATAAAGACCATTTCTTAAATCTAAAAACGTCTATTTTACGTAGAAACTTTTTCGTTTTATGAATAGGTCTCTGGGTACAAAAATTGATTGATTCAGAAAAATAAATCGGTGGATTGCTTTTAAAAAAATATTATTTTAATGCCAAAAATATATTAGTATGAATATAGTAATTTTATATTAATATACAATTGGACATTCTACAACTTCAATTCGTAAAATTATTTGATGCTTAATCGTAAAAACCACTTTTCCAAATATTTGTAATATAAACCTTTGAAAGCGATAATGACAATCCGAAAGCCGATAATTTGTCATTATTCAAATGTAAATTTGCAGATTCGGCTTGGCTACAATCAAAAAATATTTTAAGTGATTTCTAACTTATTCGTATTCAAATTGACTGCTACAAGATTATTTTAAGGACAAAAGGATAAAATAATCAGATAAAGTGTAAACATTTTGTTATTCTTATCAATCTAACGATATTATTATAAACTTTACTTCACACCAAGTGTAATAATTACTGTTCAATGTAATGCTGTAATACAAATTAAATATATATAAATTAATAAACTTTAATTACTTTTTAGTGTTAACTATTACAGAGCAACTAACTACATATGCATGTATTTATGTACTTAGTTTATAAAAAATTATTTTGAGCCCATAAATAGAGCCATGAATGAATCGTAGATCATGAAAGTTATGCCCACATCTAAGCATACTCGACCCAATCGCGGAACAGTGCCCTTGTAAAAAGCAAAGATACCTTCATTTCGCAATATCTGTAGAGCACAGTCGGCAGTGTTTCTGTATTTCGAAGCTTCTAGTCCTTGCATGCGAGTTTTTACTACATCCAATGGAGTGTTGCCAAATACAGATGCTGCTCCAGCTATAGCACCAAAAGCACCCACAACAAGTTTAGGAACTTTTTTTTCAGGATCGTTGCCTTTGTAGACATCTTTTAGTGTTTCCATAACGAAAAAGCGTATTGCTTGATTGGAACCCTGTTTAAGAATAGTAGCTGTTAAGCCTTTATAAATGCCACCAAGGCCTAAAACAAATAATAGCAGTGATTATAATGTCATAAATTATGTATCAGATGTATGAGTGCATTTAAGTACCTTCAGATTGAATAATTGAACGTACACCATGAAAAAAACCCTTAAATTTAGGCTCAGCACTTCTCTGGTCATGTACAAATTTTACTTTTATCGTCTCCATTGGAGTAACCGCGACGATGGCTTCACATACTCCTGCTCCCAAACCCGATAATAACTTTCCACTCACACTCAGTTGACCGTTAGTATCCATCATGAATCCTTTAAGTGTTTCGAAAGCTCCAAATCTATTGAAAAATGAAATATAAAAATACATACATATGGATACATGCTATATGTAAGCTCTAATCTGCTTTCATACATACCTTGTTGCTGACTTCGGAATACTGCCATAGATTAAAACACTAAGTCCTCTATATAGACCAAAGAAACCTCTTTGTTGTACAGTCTTCTTAGCACAGTCATATATGCCGCAGTATTTTTTTCGATCACCTTTTTCATCCAGTTGCAATTGAGTTTTTATATATTCGGTGGGATATGTTATACAGATCTCAATACCTCCGGTTATACCTCCAGCTACAATACCTTTAAGACCTTTTCCTCCACTTGCAGCTGGTGCTGCAGCTCCTTTTTGGTTTAACCATGGTCTTTGGTAAAATGGATTCAGAACAATGTGTCTTGTATTTCTGTCCATATCTCCAATTATTAATAATAATAAAAAAAATGACACAGAACTAGAAAATACAATTATAAACAGAAAATTATTTACAGAAGTTGCCACAAACAAATTTTATCCTATGTAAATAAAAATTTAATTGATAATGGTCCCAAACAAAGTCTTCCTCTGAAGGTAACTTTAATCTAAACAAGTAATTCACATATGAATATTAGTATTGCTATGAAATTCGGTAATCATACATACATACGTATACAATTTCGTGTCAAGTGACCCAACTTTTAAAATCGATGTCTTCCGGGCAACAAAATTAAAAATTTTTGCTAGGACCAATGGGTGAAAAGTTACATGCATTTGAATAAATCGCTGTAAGACCAAAATGTCCAACTTTGACCCTCTCTAAGTCCGGCAGTTCTTGTCCGATAGAGCTGAAAATTTGTGTGGCCTACTAGCCATAGTACTAACGGTGGTGCAAATTTCGTCAAAATCGATTTTTTTAGTTGGGTCACTTGACATGAAATTGCCCATACAATACAGACATAAATCAATCTTCAAGTTTTTTAAGAGGATCCTTACAGCGGCTATACTTTCATTAATGTTTATTTTATATATATGAATTGAATTTTCTGGTCAAGTTTACTTGTTTCGATTTTGTAAAAAATGAAATAATTACTTTAAATGCCTGAACTTATACACATGCAAACAAATTTGAGAGTACAATCATTTGAAAAAGCTTAATTAAGGTTTACTAATGCTGGTGTTTTTAATTAACATTTAATTTTTAACTATATTCATTTATTTTACAGAATTTGTTATTTTTTTATCTTATGTATTTCTTATATATTTGTTTCCTTTAATTTGTTTTTCATTTTTATGGCACTTTTCCCAAAGTATTAAATACAGGAAAAATCAATAGCATATCTGTAGGCAGTCGCGTAATTAATGGAACAAATTTTATCATTTTAATAAACGCAAACCGATGTAAACATTCTGTTTTATATATATAACTGAATTTTTAAAAAATAAACTTAAATATTATTGTTATTTTTTTAAATTACCAAAAATAGCAAAGAAGAACTGTTTAATGCGGTTTTACTTTGCCGGTGTTTTCACTTGTGATAAGAAGACTTTTTTGTTGACAGAGCTTTCGATTTACTTATTGTTTCAACCAAAACACAACTTTTGTCCTGCGCATTTTAAATGAAAGTAGTAACAGCGATACTCCATCCCCTCTTGAATGTAAATAGTTAGCAGTCAGGTTTGGACTCTTCTAGCAAAAACAAAAAATAAGTCTGTTTATCGAATGTTGTTAACGTGATGTCATTGACCAATTTACGTAGTATGCACATATTTATGTATGTGTATGGGGTGACATTCAATTGGTTGTACATAAAGGATATCATACGATATCCAGGTTGGTAAAACATTATGTCAATAACTGTATTTGTAAAATAAAAGGTAATGTCAGCTAGTATATTTTTATGGGTATTTCAAGATCAATTATTTTTGTTATATTTGTTAACCACCTTGCAGAAATTATGGAAGAACATGATCCATTTGGGTAATCCCAAAAATACTCCCCTGTAGTTTTGGCATTACTCTGATATAATGCATGGATGGATTACGTGGTCCTCATCTAGGACATCACAATGTTAAATGGAGTATGTTTTTCCAAATATATCAGATCGGATTAGTTTTGGACCAGACCTTTGAGGAGTACTCTTTACATGCATGTGCGGAGTAGACGCAATTTTGGAGGGCAATATCATCAATTATTTATTTTAATGTTATTGTGTAGGATTTTAAAATAAAACTAAAAATGTTTTAATTAAATGCAATGTTTATGTCATTATTAGTTTTATTACTTTTTTGTTTGTTTGTTTTTGGCTTACAAAGACCTTAAATACATACATATGTGGTATATGTAAATAATAGAAAGGAAAATAATATTGTTATTTAATAACAATGCTCATGTGCCATATCATAAATAGTTAATAAAGATCTTATTAAAAATAACAGAGTAAAATATAAAAAAAACTCAGTCAATAATTTTTAGGCAATGCAAGGAAAGTAGTCAATTCTTAATCCGAGTTGTTGAATTAGTTTAAATAGACAAATAGTTTCACTATTTACACGAAATTTATAGGGCCTTGTAAACACGGACAGATTTGACGTCACCAATGGTAAGGGTCTAAAATAAAATAAAGGAGAGAAATTATTTGGTGTTCAATGGATTAATGTTTGTTTTACGATAAACTTACTGTGATCAATTCAGAATCGGTGAATTCACGAACAATGGTTGATGGTTTGTCACCTTTCTGTTCTTGTACCAATTTGTTGCCATCCATAGTGCAGATAGATTTAACTTTACGGCCATCCAAAGTTTCTTCGTCGAATTCTTCACCCAATTTGAAAGAGATGGTAGAAGTCTTGAAGGTAGAGGAGGTGGTGAATGTATATACATCACCTTCTTTCTTCAATTCAACAGTAGGGGATACAGAGTTGCCCATCTTGCGGAGGACCATGCCAACACCTAGTTTTTTGTATATTCAATAAAACATTTTTTATAATATTTTCAAGGCAACAAATGCATACATACAATCAAGTGAATATACATTTTCAAATAAATATATAAATATACATATAATAAACAAACCGCAAATAAGCTAAAGTTACATACATATTTGTGATAAGCAAAATCTGGCTACGTAGCGAAACTACACCATGATAAACTATTTAGTCCGAACGAATGATGTTTGTCCACTCAATTTTTAAATGGGTATACAATTTCTTCCAGCAAAAAAATATAAACACTCATGCAAACTACATTAAAAGTTCAAACGATTTTTAAAGTTCAACGTTATAATTTAATAAATAAATTGAATTTTCATAATATGTAATTGACATTATACATATATCACAAATATCCAGCCAGACGAGTGACTTTCCTACACAATAAGTTTTTTAAACGTTTATGCACGAATGTACTTTTATGTGTGAAAATGATAAAGATAAAAAACAAACGCAACTACAAGTTGCAGATCAAGACAATTGCAATTTATGTTTGTTTTATGAGTGTAAAGTCAGTCAGTTCATTCATATCGCTCACACTGTGAAAATAATATGCATACAATATTTTTTAAAATATACATACATATAAATATATTTGAAAGACTTTAGTTGAGTTTTTAGTTATGCAATTAACTCAAAATTCATATGTAATTAAATGAGTGATATACCTACATAGTATATGAAAAGTTACAGTACATTTTATGCGGTTACACATTAACCTAAAGAAGTTATATGAAATTCCTCATAAGTTTGCTTTTTTACATCGATAATTTAAAAACTCAAATCAAATTTGTATGTATGTACGACCAGTATAAGTTTTGTGCAAATGTATTTTTTGTTTTGTTGTATACACATACCATGTATGGCGGTGTATTCATGTAAAGTGGAGATGAATTAATGAATGGTTGGTCTGTCATAAATTTATTAAATAAATTAAGCTTGATCTTGCCCATCATTTATAGAATACATCACAGCAGTATATACCTATTTATAAATATATCGCATGATCTTTTACGTACTTTATTTTATACATTTTATGTTTTTTACATGACCCCTATAAAGGTGGGAAAAAAATTCTCAAACTTAATTGAATTAAATTCTCATTGATATTTAAAGAATGGAATTCAATTGACTATAATTGATTTTAAGAAATACATACATATATATGGGCATAGATATCTCTGTATACCTATATATTTACATATCGTCACCTAAAACGCAAACGGCCCTATCTAACATTTTTAAAATTTTACAGGAGAAGCAAAAAAAATATTTAAATTGCAAAGTTTGTTTCTATCAGCGCGATTTATTTTTATAAAATATACAGATTGTTTAATGGTGAAACGTTTTATTTGTTATGATACCTAGTTGATATTGGTGTACATAAAAATGGATAAATTGGACTTTTTATCTTTAATATTTAAATGTTTTTGTAGATAGGGCCTTTTGTTTTTTGTCAATAAAATCGCTAATTTTGGTCGGAGGAGACCATTGTGGACATTTGTTTTGATGCAATACATTAGAATCTGCAATAAAATCGATTTTGGATTTTTGGTTAGTTAGGCCGTTTGCGTTTCAGGTGACGATATGTATATGTAAACTTAAATATTTAAATACACGTCCAAAGTCTATAAATATTCATATACATGTTTATCTATATTCGTGTTCAAAAATTATTAGAACAAAGGGGCGACCTGATCAGGAATAAAAAACTTATCAGATAATAAAAATTATTCTTTATGTGTTGTTTATGGTCAGAGCCGATTTTATGACTAATTGTTATCATAATTTTATTCTTGTATTTTTCTTGTATATTTTATTATTGTTGCAAATTTATTATAAAACAAAACAGGCCATAAAGTCAAAAGTTTGCTAATTTCGATAAGAAACAAAACAGCTATAAAATATATACTATATTTACTTTGCTAAATTTGTATATGTATTTGCTTTTTTGTTTATTATAGGTATACTGCACATTATCTACATATAACCACATACTCATGTGGGTACATACATACATATTGTATGTCCATATGTATGTATTTAATTGTTTATAAAAAAACATAATTATTAATACATATTAAATGCGATTATTACTGCACATACAGTTCCAGGTGTACATTAGTAAACTTATAATAATCAGCCGTTATCAAAAGTTAGACACATTAGTTCAAATGTTTGAATTAACATTCAATGCTATTAAATCTCAAAATTATTTATGTTGCTAAAATTGTACTTCACTTTCACATTTTTAGGAATTAAAAATATTATTTCAAAATTCATCAATTCTCATCTTCACAATTTAATTGCAAATTAGTGTATTTTGTACCAATGTTAAAGTAATTATTTATCAAGCCAAGATAGTTATACCTATTAATATAATATAAATATAATTGTGTCCTGAATATTCTTAGATTTATTGACATTGAAAAATTATACTTTGTAAATATTTGTACCACTTTTATACACTTGTTATTGTATAGGTATAAATACTTATGTACGTATGTATATAAATACATTCATATAATGTATGTAGGTATACATTAAATTCAATATTAAATTTTCTGGGAAATATTTATCTTTAATTACCTATTATTATATTTTCTTTAGAAAATCTAATCAATTTCATAAGGTAAAGAATCTCTATTATTTAAAAAGTATCAAACAAAGACTAAATTATAAACAAATGTATAAAAAACAACATTAAAGAGAAATGCTAAAATATCAAAGTTTTGTTCCAAAGTCCAAAATTCAATCGCAAAATATTTTTTATAGAAAAGTTTGTACAAATAAAAATAAATACCTATAAAAATCTACTGATTGTTTGTCTGTATTTTTATTTAATAGTTTTAATAATTAAACAAACGACAAATTAAGTCAAATTTTAAAAATAAACATAGTAATATGTATGAATGTAGGTACAATAAGTATTTTTTAATTATTTACAAGGTGTAAATGAAACAGAAAAAAATTTATATTTAATCAATAAATTTTAATGAATTGGCTTTGTAAAGTATAATTTAAACTAAATAAAATAAAGAAATTAATTATTCGTATTTAAGAGACAATATAAGACTTTGCTCTAACCTTTTGCATTTCATATAAATATTTAAACTTTCTAAATCTATCTACACTTATATAGCGTAGCAAAACACAGTTTAAAAAATCAGAATTTTTAGTAAATGAACGATATATGTATGTATGTACCTACATTGTTGACATTGTCTAAAAAATCTCTAAAAATGTAATTTTAAACATCTGGCAGCTTTGTGTACAGGAAAAATTTAATCAATAGCTAAAAGGAACCAATGAAGTGCATATGAATGAACAAAAATACATTAAACATTAGTTTATTTATTAGCCCTTTTCTGAATAGGTACCAAAAATTCGAATACAAAATTATTTTTAATTACATACAAGCAAATGTAAAATTTGCAATGTGAAAACCAAGCCTCATACTAAACTAAAGCATTATTATTCATATCGATTTTAGCAACATAACTAGTAAGTATGTAAGGTTACTTCAATAACTGTTCCCTATTTCTGTAAAATAGGTACTATGTATGCATCAATGTCCGAAATAATTATCTACTATACGTACAAAAATTTTTGTTTGCCATAAAGTTTAAAGTCTAGTCCGAATGTTCATTTCGTTATTTCCAGATAAATATTTTAAAATTGTATTGTTTGTAGCTTTTTTGGCAATGAACCAGAAGCAATTTATCACATGGTTAATTTTCATCATCATTCAACTAACAATAGCACGCTATACAGAGATCTATTAACTGGACAATTAACGGTCCACGAAATTTCTTAATAAAATGCTAAAAAAAACAGTAGTAATTAAAGAATGCTGAGCTGTACCATAATCAGAAATGAATACTAAAATGAATCGCTATTGCAAAAACAAAAAAAGAAAAGTAAAAAGAGAACATAAACCGGTTTGTTTAAATGTGTATTATGAAGACGCCGGCCGGTGTTTCTGTTCCCTTTATCTTTCTATGTATGTATGTACATTCATTCACTTAAGATTAACCCACGTTCATTTTATACATTTGCAAATTTATTTTTTTATGAAAAACTAAAACTTCGCTTATTTTTTTATGGTCACAAGCGGAAATACTAGAGACAGTTTGAACTCACCCAATTCCTTCATGTATTCATCGAAGTTCTCGCTCTTGTCCAATTTGTATTTCTTTCCTTCCCAGCAGGCCATTTTAGAAATTATTTTTTATTTGAACGCGTGGAAAACAACCAACTATAAACTGCACTTCACGACGAGTACGAATGAATGAATATGGAAATAAAATGACGCGCTTTTATATGAGAATTTTTTGCTCTCTTTCTCTGGAAAAGCACACTCGTATATACATGTAATCACAATAGCAGCGTCAAGCGATAACAAAACATTTGTTTGCCGTATAGGTGCATATTGAGTTCTTTAACTGACGATAAAACTCTTGACGATAAAACTGTTTCTCATTAAAAATGATTAAATAAAAGTTAATATTGAATTTAATTATCTGCAGGTGTTAACTGGGGTCTAAAAGTCCAAATTTTGAGTTATGATTACGAACATGCCAAATAACACACAACTAAAGAACTTAATAACATGGCAAATTGTCCAAAAATTTAGGTAATGTAAATCAATTTTCCAATTACATACATATTTTGATCCTCAATTTACAATTTCAAAATAAAACAAAGGAGGAAGTGGTATTATATTATTTGTAAATTTCATGATTTTAAAAGAAGTTCTATAAAATGTTTAACAGCAAAAAACGAAAATATTCAAAATTAATAGTAACATACATACTTTTTAAACGCAAGGTTTTTAAGAGCGGACATAATTTATCTGCATAAGTAAATCTATAAAATGTTATCGAATATTTTATCTTTAATTGGTATACCTATGTACATAAATTCACATTTTTAATATATTTTTTATCAAAGACCATAAATTGGTACAAATACATATCAACTATTTTTATTTTATTTAAATCGAATGTTGCTCTAATTGTGTTCACGTTACAATATTTTACAGAAATCTAAGCTTTTCTGTTAGAGTTGCCAATATTTTAAAAATTATAAAAAATATTTTTGAATTTTGAAATATTAAAGTAAGGTGAATTTAATAGGTATTTGTTGACAAACCTTTTTAAATAAAGGTATAAACACATTCATATGTATGTATATAAAGGCAAATATGTATGTATATGTATATATAATCTAATATACAAAGTGTACAAATGTATGTACATATATATACAAACATATACATATATTCGAAATTATTATCAATATGAAGAGAATTTTAAATTTACTTAGTTAATTAAATCATAATAGAAATTCTTGAAAATCCTCTACAGAGCAATTGACCATATGTAATTCTATTTACTGCAATATATGGGGGATCACATACAACTGTATATATATAAATGTATGTAGATACATACACACATTCGTACATGCGAATGAGTTTTCTATATGTACATTAGACCTGTATATAAAAACCATAAATACTTACATAGGTATGAAGTTTTCGTAAATACAGTAAATTTTTGCATCACTGCTGTAGCTCTAATATCCACACATTACCTATTTAACTTTATTAATTTCTAATTAAATTTTGTTGTTTTTACTCGGCAAGAACGACAAATCAAAAAAGTAGGAGTATAGTAGAAAAAAGTAGTTTAAGGATATTATTATTTTGCATACATCATTATTGATTTCAAGTTAATTAGTTAAATAAATAATTAGTGGCAACAGTTTGAATAATGTTGCGTTAAATATTTTGATATAGTAAGTACTATCAGATTATATAGCTTGTCCTCTATACTCAAACGAACGGCTTTTCCCTTTAGTTTTTTTAATTGTGGCTATTAAATTAAGTGATAACGAAAGCAAAATTAATGGATATCAGTTGGCCACACAATAGGTGTGTAAATAATCGACACATCTCTCATTTACTACAAGAACGGCATAAATCAAAAAACCTCATTTTGTGCAAAAAAAGAAATTAAATAACTTTCAAGCAGATCGACGGTTTTGAAAAATAAGACGATATATATATATATATATATATATATATATATATATATATATATATATATATATAAAATTATATATATATATATATATATATATATATATATATATATATATATATATATATATATATATATATATATATATATATATATTGCACACCAAAATACAAAACATACATATTTTCTAGCACATACTCAGTTCAAAAAACCCGAATAAAGATTGATAAAATTTAAAAAATTGTTGAATGTTACTTCTACATAATTTTCGAACATAATCGTACAGGCCAATGAACGCCAGCTGCTCGTCTTACCGCTTAAAAATTTTGGTACGCATCATCAGTTATACACAAAAAATTATAAATCACTTTTGAAAAGAACACAAATTCATTGCAATATATTTATATAACATTTTTGTTATTTTACTTTTTTGTTGATATTCAAAATATTTAAATGAAAAATTAGTATGACAAGTGATTTTCAAGCGGCCATGTGGCAAAGTTGAACAAAATAAAATTTGGCCCCGTTACCGCTTTTCTTGCCATTACCAAATCAAAATATTCTAATGTGTTAATATTCTTTTTTGAAAATTTTGTATGTAGACATACTAATTTTATTGATGCTGGTAATGCTGCTGCCGCTAGAAGCCGGATGCCTTGGTCCTGTACCATAATATTGTATTGTCATCAAGTGTATACAAGACTCACAATTTTTTTTTTATAAATAAGTTAGTTCGTTTGATTCAATTATTATTTTAAGAGCACAGTTTTTTTTCGAACATTAGTTAAAATTATCGAATTTAATTTCGAATATAATATTGAACTCTCATCTTTTGTATTCAAGTCTCCCAAATCTCAGCAAATTCCGGCTAGGAGAATTAGTTTTAATAGCTATCAAAAATTTTCACCATTTATTCTAGAAAAAGTTTGAATTGACTCGACTTATTTGATTTAAACAATCTACCTATATTGTATTATTTTAACATAAATAAATTGTTTACATTAGAATGCAAATGTAGAGTATAAATAGCAAGCCAAAATAATTCGTACATAAGAAATAGTTATTCAAATTATCCTAATTATAATTACCACTGTGTGATTGTTTTATGTGTATTATTTTGAATATTCACTTGAAAATGATAACATTGCTAGCTCTCAAAAATATAAGCAGATATTACTGGCACAGCTGACAATAAATTCATAATATGTATGGTTACTGTCAAATTGCATATAAAAAAAGTTTAACCAAACTAATATCTAGCTGGATAAAGCCATCTTTTAATACATCTTTTTGACAGTAAAATACACATTTTGACAATTTATAAATTTGTGGAAGAACTAAATTGTAATTATTTGTTCAGATTTTGTTAATAAAATAAAAAAGTTGAATTTTTAGCGGTAGAAATGGCAGATGATACAAATGAAGATAGTTGGCTGTATGGTACTTCTAATCCAGATTCTACCACAAATGAGGAAGAACGACTAGGTGCTGAAAATGCTAACGATGAAGCCGGCATAGAAAAAGTAAACTCGCAAGAGTTATTAAAAGCCGAAAATGAAGCGCTTGCAGCGGTAACCCAAGGTAATGGTTTAAGTAATTTGCCTGACAAAGATGATGGTCCGCCCGGTGCAGAGTTAGTTGATTTTGAAGATCCAGCCCATGAAATGGAGGAAGACGAAGAAGCGACAGCAGCAGCTACTGTTGCCGACACCACCGATGGCGATGAACAGGAGGAAGTTAAGAAAAACGATGAACATTTGGGGGGAGACGAAGATGATGATGCTGAAGATGACGATGAGGATGATGATTCAGATGATGATATAAACGTGGTAATAGGCGATATCAAAGCTGCGCCTAGTACTTATAATATAAATAAACGTTCGAATCTATTGGCTGGAGCTAGTAGTCAAGAAAAGTCCAAGTCTACTCAGGTAGGAAAATTTTCTATCGAAGATTTTGAAGGAGTGGGTTCAATTAATGGGGTTGCTGCGCATGAATTTAGTATAGATTCACTAGAAGATAAACCATGGCGCAAGCCAGGTGCTGATATAACAGATTATTTTAATTATGGTTTTAACGAGGAAACTTGGAGATCATATTGTGAGCGCCAAAAGAGATTTCGTGTTGCTGAGAGTGGTGTCGGATTGGCTAGTTTGACCCAAAACTTAAACCCACAGCCGGAAAGGCAAGCAGATGGTAATATACCTACAGGTCCACCTCCCGGCATGATGCCGTCTGGGCCAATACCTATGGGACCATTAGGAGAACAAATACAAATGCCACCTCCAGGTATGATGCCACCATCCGGTATACACCAAGCACCTCATCAGGCCATTCCTCCCAGATTTGCATCTATACCCAGAGGCCCACGACCTGTGAGTCAACCAGGAACAAAAGAAAATGCTATCCAAGTTATGACTGCAGAATGTCGCGAATATTCACGACCTGGCCAAATGCCACCAAATTTCGGTGGTCAAGGTCCCGGGGAAGAAGCTTTCTTTCACGAACCGGAGCCATTCGATTATGGATATGAACCAACCCAGGATTCACAGTGGGGTGGTGACAATCCGAATTGGGTACCTAGTGGTATAAAGGAATTAACACCAGGGCCAGGAAATTCTGGACCACCACAACAAATGTCTGGACCTCCGGGTATTTTACCAACTCCAATGGGTGTGCCACCTCCTCAGATGGGTGGACCACCACCGCAATTGCGTCATCCCCATCCGCAACCGCCAATGATGGGCGGAATGCCACCACCAAATATGGGTATGGGACCGCCACCAATGGGAATGATGATGGGACCTGGTGGTCCTGGAGGACCTCCAATGCATATGCCAATGGGACCGCCACGAATGATGGGCCCAAATGGTCCTCCTGACCGTTCAGAAGACGAACGTGAAAGAAGACGCCGAGAAAGAGAATGGGACCGCGAAAGAGAAAGGGACAGAGATCGAGAGAGGTACGTAATACCACCACAAATGAATATATAGGATATGTAGTAAACCAGAATATTTTTTATATTTTGATTTTTTGCAATGAAATTAATAATTCGTCTTAAAATGTTCCATCTTATATACATACATACTTAAATATATGTATTTTTTATACATTAATCAGAATGAGACGGGAACGTTCGAGGAGTCGGGAGAAGTCTCGAAGAAGGTCAAAATCTCGCGAAAAAGAGAGGGATAAGGATAGAGACAAGGATCGTGATAAGGAAAGGGATCGTGAAAGAGATCGAGATCGTGAGAGAGAACGTGATAGGGAAAGGGGTGAAAAAGTTGAAGTAAGTTTTTTTTAGCAAAAAAAAATATAAAACCCATGTTCCTTATGTCTCTATTTTATTAAATTAGGACAGTGAACGCTCTGATGACGAGCGTGAACGTAGAAGAAGAGATCGGGATCGAGAGCGTGACCGTGACAGGGATCGTGAACGGTAGATATATTTAATATTATTTAATTAAATTTATTAATTTTTTTTCTTCAGTTCTAGGCGTGAAAGATCGAGAAGTCGAGAAAAATCGCGTCGAAGATCAAAATCTCGTGATAAGGAACGTGACCGTTCTAGTAAAACTGGTACATCATCCACATCATCGTCCTCTAGCCGCAGCGATAAGAAAAAGTCTCACCGCAAAGAAGATGAAGAGTAAAGCAATGATGAACAAACAGAAAAGTTTTCAAGGGAAACAAAAAAATTCTTTTCCAACAAGCAATCGTAGTATTTCTGTTAATTGCGAAATTTTAATTTAAAATAAGAAAAAGTAAAATGAGGATACATATGTACATAATTTTTGAAAATATAAATAAAAATTATACCGTGCAAAACTCGAAATCGTACATTCCAAGGTATACATACATATGTGTATACCATCGTCTAAAACGCGAATGGCCTAACTAAGAAATAATTCCAAATCGACCTTTTATTGATTTCAAAAAATGCCCACAAAAAATTACACTCCGCCGATCTAATTAGCAATTTGCCGTTAAACATGTTTATTGAAGAAAAATAAATCGCGATGATTGGATCTAAACATTAAATTTAAAAGTTTCTTTGCTACCGTAAAATGTTACAATGATGTATAGTGCCCTTTGCGTTTTAGGTGACGGTATGTTTACTTATTCTGGTTAGAAATAATACTGATTTTAAGTACAGTCCATTGGTCGGACGCAGAGACTTTTTTGTGATTATAATAATATTAGTAAATTATTAGAGACATTTCTAGTCTTACATCTATCCTGGGAAGGTTTCTGAAACTAAAGATCTAATAATTTTTTTCAGAATATATTTATAAGTGCTGATATACGAAAATACAGAATAGAATAGGATGTTATTGCGTCCGGTGGAAGTTTATTGAAAAGAAGATTCAAATACATAAAAATCCACCCTAAACTATTTTATATTTATAACTTAGGGGCCTGTCTAATGAATAATGTTATTATTCCACAGTGAGTTTTGTAGAAGAAGAAGAAAAACCTAAATAATTTATTTATGGAAGTTTATTTAACATACGAGTGACGAAATGCCATTGGAATCAAAGAGCCCCTCGAGAAACACAGAGGCGTAAGTTCATCAACTTTCTGTATTATTCCAGTTATTTTATATATATTTTTTTTTCGTAGGACATTAAAAATTCCCTTCGAAACCCCAAGACACGCAGAAATTGCATTCCGTGTTTTAAGTGTAGACCAAGAACCCAGACGCAATTTTGTAAGTAAAGATTTGCGATTAGTGGAAAACAACATTGAAGTGCATTTCATTGCGGATCAAGTAAAAAATTTAAGGACTGCAATAACATCGTTCTTTGAGAGTTTGCTGCTGTGTACAGACACAATCAAATCATTTGATTTAGAAACAATTAAAAATGCCGGAACACACTCCAGCCCCAACACCTCATAGAGCGATATATGGTTATGCTTTTTATCTGTTAGTTATAGCTCTTTTTGTATTTTATTTTTTATGGGCCCTGCTGCCAACCAAAGAATGGGGTCTAACCTATCTACCCGATAAATATTTTGCCGTACTTCTTCCTATGTTGGTCCTAGTTGGATTGTCTTTTTTTGCATTTTTCATTTATCCTGCTATCAATATGTCCCTTACTGCTGACATCGATGAGATGGCCTCTGTTGTCGATGTTCAGCTGATATTAAAAGGAAAATCAAAAAAATCTGTTCAGTCCTGGCATGAATTACAACAAGAAATGACACCTAAAAGGAAATCCTGTGAAAATATTGACAATTTCATTGGATATTGTAAATATTGTTTAGGAAAGCATAGTATACCTAAAGTGGAAGATCAGATTGACACCTTACGATTTTTGGATTTAGCGGAATTGAATAAAAAATTATTTGAATAAAAATTTATTGTTTTATGGTTTTAATTTAAAAACTTTTAAATATACAAAATAAGTGAAAACTAGTTTTACTTTCTCCTAGTTCTTACTGTGGTCCAACCTTCTTCAGGTTCTACAAAATCATCTTTTTGTTTGCGGGACTGTGATCTAGTAACTCTACTGCCGGAAGCCTGCTCCTCATCAACGTCCCCTTCAACATCCATCATATCGTCATCGTCATTGTCATCAGAATCACTACCGTCTTCAGAGGATGAATCACCCTCGATAGGAGTGTAGGTAACTTTGACATCAGGTCTCAACCATTCTTTACCTTGTGGTAATTTATTTAGCTCCAATTCAATTTCGGCGTATTGTCCCTGTAAGCTCATCTGTTTGTAGCGTAACAAATGTCTGCATATTTCCGAAACAGATCCATCTTCACATATCGTGTCGAATTCTTGATCCATCAAATCCTCAATGACATCTTGCAGTTCACCTTGTGTGATATTATCGTTTCCAATGCAATACTCATAAGTATAGTTCATGATATCAATAGCCACCTATAGAAAAACCCTCAAGTGATATTTAAGCAATTTTGACTTTTATTTACTCACTTTTTGGCCATTTCTTCCTCCCATTCCATGCTCAACGGCTAAGCGTAGATTCTGCCAATTGTTGAAGATCTTTTCCACTATAACACGATAGTTTTTCTTAAATTCTTCGGAATTCATGACTGAAATATTGTTTTGTTTTGAATAAATTGTGTCTTGTCTTTGACAGATTTACTTCACGTGCATTAACAGCGGATAATATTGGTTGCCATATTTTTCATCAATTTTCACTGAAATGTTTAAATAAATAAAAATACTGTGAATATATTTGTTTTTATATCAGTATTTACAAACTACTGACAGGTATATTAATAGAAATTATTAAAATCTCTAATTATAATTAAAATTAATCTTAATTTATGTGTTTATAAACGTAAAATAACACTGAATTGTGTGTTGTTAATTTTAATGAATGTTCTTCAAAACAAAGAAGAAGCATTTGTTTATTATTTACAATAATTCGCGCTTTTTTATTTAAGGTGATGTGATAAAATCACAAAGTATAAAAATAAAATATCCTCTACATATTACAACTTCCTATGACATCCTCTATAGATAGTAACAAGTCTATATATTTTGTTTTGTCAAATGTCTGAAGAAGATTATCCAAGGAAATCAAAAAATATAAGTGATGATGATTTGAACACTTCTAACATTGGCTCGAATACACACGATTATGATGATGACGATGAGGGAGAAGAAATAACAGCTCAAAAGGTGTTGGAATTTTTAGAAACAGCTTGGACTAATGAAATTTGTGCACCTGAGATCCTTCCACACCAAAGTGATATGCTGGAACTGATGATGGGACAGGTTGCACACATGGAAGAGAACATGAAAGATTTAGATAAGAATGATTTTCGTTATGTTGTGCACCAAATGGAATTAGAGCGTATTCGTTATATTATAGCCAGTTATTTAAGATGCCGTTTACAAAAAATTGAAACTTTTAGCAAGCATATACTGAATGAAGAGTCTAATCGTGAACCGGATGAAAAGCGTTTATCCCCTGAAGAAACGAAATTTGCCCAGGAATACTACGAGAATGTTGAACAATATTTCCAACAAGTCGCATTACAATACATGCCAAATATGCAAAGATCCGAAGCTGATCAGCGAGTAGTTAGACCAAATCTTATGAGCCATGTTTTCATAAAAGCGAACGTATCTGGTAAGTTTTTCCCATTTGAATAGTTTCCAAATTCATTTTCGTGCTAATATTTAAATTATTGTATAATAACCACGACATTTGAAGAATTTAGAAGGGATTATAATTCTTCATTTTCGTGAGAAGTGTATTTTTGTATTATTTTATCATTCCGATTTAATTTCTACAACTAGAATTCATCCACCTTAATATTCAATACGGCTTAGAATATTTAATGAATGATTAAAAAATTCGTCTTAAAAGTTCTATTTCTTAGCAAAGAATATATAGGACTGCTCTCGTATCGAATTTATTATCGAAATTATTTATTTTTATATAGTTGTAATACAATGAATAATTTCTGGAGATTATAACCATCCCATAGAAAACAATATATATTTTTATAAAAAAATATAATTATCTAAAAGACTGTAGTACCAAAAATTCGTTATAATATACAGTTTAACGTAAAAAGAGTATTTCAGGTTAATTGTCTATCTTATTTTTTAGTTCCTGCTGTTGTCGTTGGAGTGGATGATGAAGAAGTGGATTTAGCTGCTGGCTCTCAACATATTATTCCATATCAGTTAATTGCTGATTTAATACAAAAGAATCAGGTTCAACTTATATAAATTATACCTTTTTTAGATTATACATTATTTTTTATATTTAAATTTATTTAAATTCTGTACGTACATATATACATATAAATTGAATAATTGATATACATTCATAAATTTTATTAAAATATTATTTATAAAGTCGAGATCAAAAGTAAATGTTCAATAAAAACATTTTACCATAACATATTCAATTAATAATTATAAAGAGAGGCTCACTTCTTAAACTAGAAGCTTTATTTAATGTTTAAATATTTGTGGTTCATTAATCTCGCTTATACTTAAAGAGTGTGTTAAGCGTCTTTCCCCTTGATCAGGGTGATGGAACATAACACGTTTACGTGGCATGGGTACTGGTTTTTGTGTTAAATTCTGTGGGTGTACTATTGCTTTAATTATATGTTCATCCGGTTTCCTTATAGGAGAGGATAATATGCGTTCCAATCTCTGTTTAAAATTGTTATTGTCTGTAGTTGAGGTATTTACGTTTAAAGGCGTTGATGCTTCTAATGCTTCATCATTTTCATCTGATACAGAATTTTGATCATTGGAATATTGTTGTTCTTGAATTTTGGTTCTTACGGGTTTGGTTGCCTTTAGAAGAGCTTCTGCATTTTCCGGCATTTTTGTTGAACACAATTTGTCCACAAATTTTTTAATTTTGTTTCTGGTTGCATAAAAGTGTGGATGTTCCTAAATAAAATGTTTTTGTGTAAATTAAATACACTTTCTAAATGCATAGAAATTTAATTTTTCACTATTACCTGTTTCAACTTGTTTCGATTTTCGTTTAGCTCCGTTGAAATTCGTTTTTTTAAAGTTGATGGTAATGATTTTGTTCTCATATTCACACCTAATGTCAAGAGACGTTGATTTGTAAGTTTTGTTGCTTCCTTTTTTGTTACAACTTTAGGTGGCTGTTGCCTGTAAAAATAAATAATACGTCAAAACAAAACCAAATGAGTTTATTATATAAATACACAATTTTTATTGTATTAGTCTTTATACCGCGTAATTACCTGGTATTCGCGACCTTTTTCGACGTGACTAGTGTCTTTTTTGTATTAATTTTATTCGAATTGTTTTTTATTTCTTTATGTTCTTCATCTGAGAGACTGTCTGAAATATCTGTACTTTCATCATCGGATATACCACTTGACATAGATTTGTTGTGATTATCAACTTCTACTAATTGTGAAATTGTTTTAATACATCAGTAAGATATACATTTGATTTATGTACTTACTTTTTTCTGTATATTTGCTGTGTTTTACGAAAGTGTGATTACTTTCAGAAATTGATGTTTCATTAACAGCATTTTTTTCTTGTGTGAATATGTGTAGTTTCTCCACTTCTTCTTTCAGGCCAATTTCAAAGACTTCCTTTTTGTTTGGTGTTTCATCGTTTAATTCAACTATTTGAAAAGTATCCTCCTTGGATTTGTTCGATGTATCATCTTTATCGCGCTTTATTTGATTGTCATTGGATTTAAAGTGCTTTTGCACAATAGACTGTTCATGTATTTTTATCAATTCTCTCTCTAGTTGATCCAATTTATCTTTATAGGACATTTCCAATTTATTAACGACTGCCTCCAGCTTAGCTGTACTTGCTTTACTTATATCTTCAAGTTTTTTACTAAGTAATATTTCTAAATCCTTAACAGATGATGGAGGGTTTTGTTTGTCACTATCCAGTTCATGCTCCATTTGATTTTTTGTCAATTCTAAGGCTGATCCAAGTTCCTGCAGTTTATTATTCACTTCAGTTAAAAATTTTGAGTTTTGAATTTTTTGTTCTTCTTTCCACTTTTCAAATTCTTGCAATTTTTCTTGTAGCATGCACATCTGTTGTCGACTTTGTGAGGAAGAACTCATGTCGTCATCGCTATTATCATCTTTCTCTTTTATTTCTGATAAGTTGCTTTGTATACCTATACTATGGACTGAAATTTGTTCAGATTTCTCCAATGTTTCAGTAGGAAGTGGTGATCCATTTGTAAGCCTTGGTTCTGTGTTTTTTTCTTTGATTTCTCTTTCTGCATTGCTTAGTCTTTCTTTCAGATGTTTTATTTCCAGTTCGAGTTTTATGGTATTTATTAAAGTTAAATCATTTTCTCGGTCTTTTAACAAAGATTGTGGCGCCTCTGATTTTCTCTCTGTTTTGGTGAAAATTCCGCTGTGTTTGCGAGAAATATGTAAATTTAGGGCATCATTGCTAACAAAATTCTTAGTACACAAATGACAAGGATATATAACTTCATGTATAGCTTCTATCTGTGTTATTTTCTTATGTAATTGTAGTACTTCATTGTTAGCCTCGGCTAGGGATCGTTTAACAGAAACAAGTTCCATTTGAGATGTGCCATGCGACTCTCTCAAATCTGCTACCGTTTCTTCCAAAAACTTACGACAAAACAACAAGTATTGCACGGAAAATTGTGAAAGTATAAAATATTTAACGATGCCGCTATCTAAAATATTTGAATCTAAGATCGATCCCAAAGGTGCTTCCGATAAATGACTTAACACAGCATCAATTTGTTCTAAGCTCTGGTCCTTTAAAATGCGCTCCACTTCTAATGAGCCTGCAAATATATATACATATGTATATGTACATGACATTCATTTACAAAAATGAAATTCATTATTTTTACCTATTAAACGCCAATCTAAAGGACCATCTTTGTAATTGCGCAACTTAAATCCAGAATCTCTTGCCACTTGAGGATAATTGTATGTGTAATTAAAAGACATTTTGTTGAAAATAATTATAATAATGTTCTTTCTTATATCCCCGTAAGGAAATTGGTTTTTAAAAAATATTTTTTGTTGATACCTGTACTAATACAACGGTTACTTAGCAACGATTTTTTAATTACGTTCATATAACCTAATCTATGCACATGCTTCATTTCTGTTAAATGTTTCTTGTTTGAAAAATATGATCTTAATTAAAACGAGTATTTTTTCCTAAAAATTCTTTAAAATTTATTTAAGTTATAAAAATTGCAATAAATCTGTTATTAAAATTGCAAGATGCCTGTCTCATCATGGATTATTTTATGGATAGTTTAAAATATAAACACATACATATGTATGTATGTAAATACATACAAATTTATTAAATTTAAATTTTTACAACATTTTTATAATTGAATAATGTTGCCAAAACTTAAAAAATATGAAATATTATTGCAGTCGATTTTAAGCTAAAATGTTTAGTGTCAGCCGCAGCAGCTGTTAATTTTTATCGGCGCAGAACTCTGAATCAGTAACAACTACTTTGCGATTTAACAGTTCTACAAGGATTTCAGCTCAGCATCCTCCTGATATTGATTCAGTCAGTAATAAGATTTTTCTTTGTACAAAACATCGTTCATCGTCGCTTTAATAAAAAGTAATTTTTGTAAAAAATTATGTAAAAAATTCAGTAAAGAAATCGTCTAAAAAAAAAAATGTCACGACTATCATTCTTATTGGTTTTTCTTTTAGTTTCACAAACATATTCAATGCGTAAGTTGTGAAAATTGTTTTTTTTATATAAATATAAAATTTTAAATAAAACAAAACAAATACATATGAAGTAGTTTGTCTATTGTTATGTGTATCCTTTGCGATGACACCCATCAAGTACGCAGGTCTATTTCTAACGTGAAGAAGCATAACGGAAGAGAGAAAGCGGAAAAGAGAATATTGTTGTTTACAAACAAAGAGCTGTTTATAAACAACAGGCAACAGGTTTTTTGTTGACATGAGTTAATTTATTTTTATCTTTCTTTCCGGTTATTAGCTCCGTTAAGTTTTGAAGCCAATCCAGATACTAAACGTTTATACGATGACCTTTTAAGCAATTACAATCGTCTAATTCGACCAGTAGTAAATAATACGGAAACACTAACCGTGTGGCTGGGGCTTAAATTGTCGCAATTAATTGAAGTAAATTTAAGAAATCAAGTGATGACAACTAATTTATGGGTTAAACAGGTACGCAGAAAAAAATTCGGCATAATTTATTTGTTCTTTAAATATTGGTATTTTTAGCGCTGGTTTGATTACAAATTGCGTTGGGATCCTGAAGAATATGGTGGAGTTGAACAACTGTATGTTCCGTCAGAGCATATATGGGTGCCAGATATTGTCTTGTATAACAATTGGGATGGTAATTATGAGGTATATAAGCTTTGCTATACATGAATATGAGGATGATGATGATGAATATATATGTTTCCATTTTTGCCCTCGTTTGATAAATATATAACTTAATATATAACTTAATTCTATATAAATTAAGGTAACCTTAATGACAAAAGCAACATTAAAATATACGGGAGAAGTCTTTTGGGAGCCACCCGCAATTTACAAGTCATCATGTGAAATGAATGTCGAATATTTTCCATACGATGAACAAATCTGTTTTATGAAATTTGGTTCATGGACATATAATGGAGCACAAGTGGATTTGAAACATTTAGATCAGGTATGTATTTGCGTTGCAATAAAACTTTATGGTAAACTTTATTGTAAATTTGTAAGGGAAATCAGATTTCCTTTCGATAAATGATTATTTGAAAATTTTCAAAAACCGATTTTTGAATAGTTTGAATAGTTGTTAAAAATTATACCCTGCAGAAAGACATGACAAAAATGTATTTTTTGTTAACTGTTGAGTAGCTTGAAGTTAGGAAGGCATTTAGAATGAGGTGTAGCACTATTATTAAAAAAAAAACATGAAAATAGCATTTACTTTCTTAGGCAATTTACAATAAAATCGGGTTCCTTAAACATTTTGTGTCATTGGTTTGTAAACTAATATTTTAATTATTTTTTCTACAATATTAGGTTCCTGGTAGCAATCTGGTGCAAATTGGAATTGATTTAAGTGAATTTTACTTGTCGGTCGAATGGGATATTTTGGAAGTTCCTGCAACTAAAAATGAAGAATATTATCCCGATACTTTAGAGCCATTTTCAGGTAAACGTAGAAGAAATGTATGTATTTTAACCGTTTAATATATTAAAAAATCTTGTATTATCACAGATATAACTTTTAAATTGACAATGCGACGCAAAACTTTATTTTATACCGTTAATTTGATTATACCTTGTGTAGCGTTAACATTCTTAACGGTGTTGGTATTTTATTTGCCAAGTGATTCGGGTGAAAAGGTGAGAATTTCGCGATTTGTCGTTTCTTCTTCTATTATACTCTGTTGTTTATGTTCTCTTTGTTTTCTGTTTGAGTTGATTGTAATTTTTGTTGGCTTATTAATAAGATCATTTGAGATCGGTTCTAACTTTATATTTTAATTGTTTAAAATGTAATACGTACATACTTATATAAATCTTGTTATATTTTTTAATGTTTGCATGTCCTGTTACTAAAGATCTGTTGCTAAAACGTTTTTATTTAATTTCCCTCTATTGGACCTTTCCTCTTCATCTTCAGTTTCATCTTATGTATAAAATTCTAACTTATTTTCAAGTTTACGACTTTATTTTTCCATTTCATGTTATTTTTTTGTTTGCTTTTAATATAAAAATTTATTTGAGTTTAAATATTGAAATAAAGTATATAGATAATGTATCTTAAAATTAACACAACTGATCATATTCGTAAAATTTGAATTATATACAAATGTATATGTGTTATGATCTTTTAGTTGTATTAATTCAAGAGTAGTGAAATTTCATAACGTAAATATCATCGAATGTATTTTGTGAATCAATAATATTAATCAATATTATATTAATTATAATTATAAAATCCATATTCGTATCGATTGTGTAGTTGTGTTGTGTGTACATTTAAACAAAAAAATAAATAAAATTCATGTATGTCTGTATGGTAGTTATGTTATATTAAATTGAAATTAAATAGTTTATTGTTAAGTATGTCTGTAAGTGTGTATGAGTTTAAAGTAAATCAAGTTTAATTTTCGTCAATTTTACACTGTTCAAGTTTAAAATTTTGACTTGGTATGGCACTGTATGATCACAAAGTGTTTGTGATAATTTTTGAATTTGCAAAATCCATTCATTCATCCGTTCATACTTTCCAGTTGGTCAAGTTTTAAGGCCTTTTCAATGAAAATGAAAATCATACTACTCATTCTTATTGTACTAAAATATTATACAGCAATTAATAATAATTCAATTTAATAGTGAATAAAGAAAGTAAATAATCTATCTATCAATCGATAGTGTTAAAAATGAATTGATTTAAATAATCAATTTTAAAGTTTAATTTGACAATATTTAAAGAAAGAAATATTTCAGTTGAAATATCATATCTATAAATGGTCAATTAGGTTTTGTTTCGCTGATATTCAGTGATTGATTGATGGATTGTCCTGTTTGAAACTAGAATTGTTGCTGCTATCAGAACGCAGACAATGTTTTGTTTGTAATTAAATAGAACAATTCAACGTAAGTTGCAATAAATCAATAATAATTTCATATATAAGTATGTATGTATGTATCTAAATAATAAGTATGTATGTGAGTGTATTTTTTGTAAGTATTACAATGTTAAATGTTCAATTCGTTCATGTTTGTATGTATGAGTAAACGTCTTTGGGTGTGTGTACTTATGTTTAAATTCAAAATCGTTAAAATAAGAAAAAAAAGAACAACAAAACGTTCAAAATACAATATCGTCCTTACTTCCTCTATTTCTTCTGTTAATATTGATGCAATGCATTGCGATGCGATTGAATTCGATTGGCATCCATTCAACGTATCGTATCGATCGATCGATTTACATACATATCGTTGACAGGTTACGTTATGTATTTCCATTCTTGTGTCTTTGACTGTGTTCTTCCTTCTGTTGGCTGAAATTATACCGCCAACCTCATTGGCAGTACCGTTACTAGGCAAATATCTACTCTTTACAATGATATTGGTATCGTTGTCTGTATGGACAACAGTGTGTGTATTAAATATACATTTTCGGTAAGTATTAGTAAAAAAATATATATTGTTAATACTCATATCCATTCATTCATTCGTTCGCTGCATACTAATGTTTTAATATACATATGTATGTACATTTCTCTTAGGTCCCCCTCAACGCACAAGATGTCACCGTGGGTGCGCACGGTTTTTATAAGTTTTATGCCAAAGATTATGTTCATGCAACGATCACCTGTTGATATGCCTGATTTTGCTAACTATTATCCCGAATACAATGGTTATACAAATGAAATTGACGTTCGGTAATAAATTTATTGTTTTGATTATATTACAATAGTCTATCAATTTAAATTATAATTTCTTTATATTTAGCACAAAAATTACTATTTGCAAACATTTTAAACTATTATTTAGGAATTTTAAATTGTCATTGAACACCAGGAATTTTATAACTATGGTAATAAATCGAAATATTAGTCGTAAACCCATAAAACTGTATATATAGTATGTATAGTAGGCATGGATAATTAAAAATTTTAAATAGTACTAACTCATAACTAAATGAGTACATTTTTAGACTACACTAGACTAGACTATAGACTAGACTATAGACTAGACTAGCCGTTTCCATGCGTCTGTCTGTAGAAATTTTACACAAATGTTATCTATTTATAGTATAGTGATGAAATTCAAAACCAATTCAAAATCTGAAACAAATTCAAAAAGTCTGGTTCTTTATTGATTTTACTCCCCATGTAACTATTCTTACAAAAAACCGGCTTATAAAAATAAATCTTTAAATGACCAAGATATTAAGACAAAATTTATACATATAAGTGGATATTTTTAAAAATAGTTTAAATTGTAATTAAATTGAGATGTTGAGAAAAATTCCGTTATTATGTAAGGAAGTAAACTATTTTTTTTAGAAATGTTCAATGATTTTTAAATTTAAAATACTTCACCCTAAAAATGTCTGCTTTGTGCTCATCAATTAATATCAGGTGTATGTTCGTACATTAAAAATTCAATTACCAATTCTTTTTTGTCAGGGATAGTATAAGTGATTACCCTTGTGATTTTAAAGATGGCCAGGATGTTGTATATGACAATGGTGTGCAACCATCCATAGGTAGGTAAAAATGCAAAAAAAATATACATGTTTTTGGCCACCCAGTAAAATGTTTACTGGGTTAATTTCCAAAACAAATATTTTTTAATTATTATCTGAAAATTTATCAAACGAAATTTTTTCTAATTACTGTGTATATATGTCTGTTTAAATGCTTACAAATTTAATTCATAGATTCTGATAATGTAATTCCGCGTCGTTTGACACCAGAGGTGCTGCAGGCATTACGAGCAGTCAGATTCATTGCACAACATATCAAGGATGCTGACAAAGATAACGAGGTTTGTATAAATCGAGATTTAATTAATGCTCGATTGAGTCTGTCTTAATATTATTTTGTCTAAAATCATAATATAACAATATGGTTGTATCATGGTCTAACATGTTTTTCAGTTACAAGTTTGATTATGGCGTCACATATTTTAAATCGACTTCAACTTATACATATCGACTTGTTCTATTTCTAAATAGTTTTAGTTATTAGAACGATTAAATAATGTCTGCTGAATGATATCGGACTAACATGTAAACGCGGGAATCATTTGCAGTATTAAATGAGTATTTTAGAAAATCAAATCATTTTTTTGTTATTTATTATTAAAAAGGAAATTGGTTTAGGGTTTACGGTTTCTGAGGTTCATCTAAAGATTCTTTTCGATTTGTTTGCTTTTGCCTTTTTGTGTGTTTGTAACCTCAACATTAACAGCTGTAAAAGCAGTTGGTAGCTATTAAAACAAATTATTTTTTATTTTATTTGGTCGGTATAGAAGGGGGCAAAAGGCAGGACAATTAGTGATTGAAATAGTGAACAGCAAGTAAGAAGAGGGGTGGATGTGAAAGAATAAGAAGAGTGGAACTAACTGTGCAATTCATGCATAAAATGATGAGTTTTTAGTGGTTTTCATTAGGCTTAATTAAAAATCTTTTTGAGCTTTTTGTTGTTAATCCACAGACACACAAACGCAGTTAAATGTGTATATATGTATGTAAATACATACACAGTTATATACTTGTCTACTTGCATAAATAAACGCCATTTTATTTTGGATTTATCTGAATTTGTTTTATGTTGATTTTATATTTGTTTGTCTTTTATATTCCTCTAGATCATAGAAGATTGGAAATTTGTTTCAATGGTTTTGGATCGTTTCTTTTTATGGACTTTTACGTTGTCGTGTATCTTTGGCACATTTGCCATTATCTGCCAGTCACCCTCTCTCTACGACACACGTCTACCAATCGACCGTCAGTTGAGTGAAATACCGTTAAGAAAAAATAATTTCATGTTGCCGCCGGATATTGTGCGTCAAATTGTTAATTAAATTTGCAACCACTAAACACCACTTCAAACAAACAAACACTCACTCACTAACGCATTTCATTACGCTGACGATACCGATGAGATAATTACAATTCTGATGATAATGATGATGCTGATGTTGCTGATGATTATGAAGGCAATAACAATGACATTGACTAGGATGAACATAATGATGATGATGATTGTAAATGTGTTGACTCTGATATTGAAGTGCTTGGTGATGAGTACTGAGGGAGTAGTTTGTTTATAATTGAAATTTAAAGCCCCAAATACACATTCTGCGGTCAAACAATAGTATTAATACTGAAAATATAATAAATTAAATTAGCAATAAAATCGAAAACAAAAAAATCACAGAAGGTATTTGAACAACTAATAATTGTATTAACAACGATAGACTTTTTGAAAAAAAGGAAATTGTTTTTTTATTTTATTGTATGTATAACTTACTACGCCTATACTTAGAAACAAATATTCTACTTACTTAGATAAAAATGCACAAAATTATAAAATTCAAACAATTTTACAATAAACTGTTGAACTTTTAAATTTCAAAAATATTTAAAAAAAAAGTTCTGTACAACGTATTTTTATTTAACAATGTGATGGGAAAGGTAAATAAATATATCGAGGGATTATATTCAATAGTGTCTATCTTAAATAATCTATCTTAAAAAACCGTTTATATCGCTAGTTCATGAGAATTTTTACTCCTACAATATTTTCCTACAACCATTTCTAAAACCCTTATATAATTACAATTTAAAATTTTGCATTTTTTGCAAAATAGAATGAGCGATAGCTTAAAAAAAATAGACCGATTTTAAATATTTTGACGAAATTGTGTCAAAATTGTGGCAAAAAATGTTAAAAATCCTGAAAAGGAACCTTTTTATCCATTGACCCAGCTCACCATATACTTATGTAAGTAAATTTTCATTGACTGCTTCTATTTTGGGGCGACCCTAATGTGCATTATTAATGTACTGAACACGAGAAAAATAAAAAATAATTTTTTTGGTATGGTGCTCAGTTCCCTACCACCGATTGAAAATCCTGACCTCAGTATTAGCCTCAAAAATTTGGTAATTTTAAGCTGATTTCGGGAAAAATAATTTAAAAATTTTTATAGAATATTTTTGGTCCACAAAATTATTTTTAGTGGGTTGGAGAGGCATATTGTTTTCTCTTTTTATCGAAATGGGTGCCAAAATTGTCGTAATTTTTAGCTCATACAGAAAAATATTTAAAAAATTGTTTGGGATTTGGTTTAGTTCATTTCAGATTTTTTTTTAAATTTATATGCCCCTTATAATACAATTAAAGCCGCTTTGCGGACCAGAAATACACTAACAAACATTTTTATTATTTTTTCCGTGATAAGTTCAAAATTACTGAATTTTTGACATCCAATTCGAAAAGATTGCAGAAAATTTTTTTTGAACATATTGTACTGAGATCAAGATTTTTAATCAAAATAGTTTTTTATTTTTCTCGTATTTAGTACATTGAAACGCATCGTTTTAGAGGTATTCCTCCTAAAAAGTGGTCCACGGGACACCCTAATGTGCATGTGTTTTTAAGACAATACTCTTTCAAAAAAGTTGTGTTTAGTTCAGTTTCTTGGAAACAGCCAGATAATATTTATTAAACAAAAACTTTATTATTCTTCTGTTCGCTTGCAAAGAAATACATCAAGAGAAAATTTTGACTGATTCTAAAAAAATACAAATACATATACATACGTATGTATGTATGTATGTACTATGTGTGTAAAAATATTGACTTTGTATTAAAGAATATGTTAACATACAGATTTTATAATTTTGAAATATAATGTCATGAATATTTCTGAAGGTTTTCTTAAATAAAGATGCCTGAAAATATATTATAAAATATATAAATATATTAACATATATTTTTAAAAACATTTAAAATTAATTTTTCTGAAAAGTCCTAATTTGAGTTAAGCTGCTATTGCTTTTAACTAAGGATTTAATGCTTGAATTGGTTCATATTTTGTTATTTAAGTGTACTTGTGTCAATATATGTGTGTATGTATACACACATGTACACACATACTATATGTATATATACATATATTTGTATAGACGTGTTTGTTTTCATTTAGAAATGTTTTGTCTTTAAAACTTTTCATTATGATGCTTTTATTGTGAAATCCTTTAATTTGTGCTCGTATTGTATTACAACACGTTCTTTTAACTTCTTTATGAACTTTATATCTTTTCTATTCTATTTCTATTTATGTTTTAAGTGTTTTGTTTTATTTAAATTAGAATTTATTAATCGTATGTCAAAATATGCATACATACTACGTACATAAGTGTGCAATGTATGTATGTACATTTACACAAATATATAAACTTGTTCACTCATATGATAATTTAAACAATTCTATTTTTAATTTTATTTTGTTTTTTAGTATAAATAAATAGATTAGAAAAGTTTTCAAATAATTCATAAAATTGTTTAAATTAGTTGCAGAGTTTCTGCCAAATATTCTTTAAAAAACGAAATATACATAAATACATAAATATACATACATATGTACATATGTATACATTGTGATAAATGAATTCAGGACGTATAAGTAATAATGAATTGTATTGCTTGTATGTTAGTATATTAAGTATACGTACAGAATGCATGTGCGTAAATCAAAGTTTCTAAAAATATATTATCTACTGTTATGATTTTTCTTATTTAAAGTTTAACTTTTTATAAGCTATTGCGAAGAATTGTTTAAAGAGTTCCTTTATTTGATGTGTTTTAAAATTTCAATAATTTTAAAAAATTGTAAAATATCATAAAACATTCAATATCATTTTTCTGGAAACAATCTTTTTCGAGTAATGCCAGTCTGGAAGCAAAATAAGCGATAAGTGTCTGTTTTTATAAAAATTTTAATATTTGTTTTATGTCATTCTATTTGAAATATTATTTAATTAATGTATAATAAATTATGTATTAAAACCTAAAATCTGTTTAATATTTTTAAATTCATTAATTTCGAAAACATAGCTACAAACTAAATGGAGGAACACTCATTTTAAAATTTTTTAAATTAATTTTGAAAAGAATTAAGAATTAATAAGTTTTATTTAAGTTTTAGTCAAGGAAAAACTATATTCCATATAGCCAAAGATATTTTCCACGATTATCTTTTTTTAGTAAACAATATTGAAGTGTGGTCAAGCGTGAGGGTATTTGAGAGAAAAGCTTTAAGTGATATGATGTGCCATGAATTTCTATAACTGTCAGGACAAAAATAAAAGGGTACATAAAATACGGTTCTAAGAATAAAACATACATACATATGCATGTGTGAATGTACATTAAGCTGGTACTTAAAAAAATTAACTTGTTTCTTTGAAAGAAATCTCAAATAAAAAATAATTTCAATGAATATCCCTTAAACGATTGACTAAATATTTAGCAACAGTTGGCTTTTGTGAGTAAATAAAATAAGATCCAAATAAACCATCTATTTTTGGGGGCTAGTCTAATGTACACACATATGTATGTATGAATGTGGATATGACCAGCAGACGAGTTCTTAAACAGACCAATATTACAATTCAACAAAGCATAACAAAAGTTTATTAGACAGTTTGTGGTTGGTGTGTTTTTAATACAACATACTCACACATACTTGTAGAAATGCATGTGAGTTGGACCTCGTACTTACGTACATACATAGTTAGTCAGTCCTGTGCGTTAGTATGTAGAAACTGAATGTTGGTGCTAAAGTCTTAAGGGTATTATAAATTTAAACGTTTTTGGGAAAAAATGAAATAAATTGAAAAAAATCGTAAAAAGTGGATAAAATAAAAATTCTCGCTCATTTGATTTATGGTGATACTGCAAAGAGTGTCAAGAAATTAATTTATATTTAATAAAAGAAATGTTTATATTTTTATGCCAGTGATGGACATTTAAATTTATTTAACAAAAAATAATTACAATTGTAGTGAGAGAAAAGACAAAGGCATTAGAAAGAAACTAAAAGATCCTTAGGAAACAGAAATACTAAAAGTTGCCAAAGTCCTTCTACCAGCAGACAAAGATAAACAAAAACGAAACAAAACTAAACTAAACTAAACTAAACTAAATGATGTTAAGAAATTTAAATTAGATTTTTGTTCGTTTGATTGTGTTGCACGCGTATTGTATGTACCAGAGAGTGAATGAGTGAGTATGAGCTCAAGTATTGCACTTGATAAAGTAAAAAAAAAACACACACAAAAACAACACATTATTGTCTAAATGTTGTTGAATTGTGCAGTAAAATGATTGTTACAATCAAAAATTACAACATTTTTAGAAATCCTACCAAATATACTTCTACACTCACAAACAGATATCACACAGCTTCAGCTAAGTTTCATATATTGAGTGAGTTCAACGTTAAAAAACAACAATAATAATAATTATTATTATGTAGAAATATTTTTGTTTTTAAAACGTCAAGTGTTGCAAATGTGTTGCAAATGAGATTTACGCCATTGGTCTTACAATTTCTTTACACACACACACTATCACACTTTTGCGAAACATTTAAATGCAAGTTCTTACAACATACCAATGTCGGAATTGCTGTGGTTTCAAACAATTACAGCTTAACTCACAAAATAGTGCATTCTAGCAAAATCTATTTTTGAACAAGTAAGAGTTTTATATTCGCCTGTACCGAATCCTATATACCCTTCACCATAGTGTTTTTAACTTTTTAAGTTTTTTTGTAACATTTAAAATTTATTTCTTTTATTTTTCGAAAAAACCCATTTCATTCATAAATTGTTTCCAATGGTTTGTTGTATATAACGAAATTTTTTGAGGTTGACTCTGATTTTTGCTCATAACTAGCTTAAATATGACAGATTTCATTGATTTTAAATAAGAAACTTCTCGAAAGTATATCTAATAGAATTATTGAAGATTTCGATCCCAAGAAAATTGATTTCAATAGACAAACAGACGGACATGGAACCTTCTCACGAAGGTCAATGGTATAAAAAAGGAATGAATATACTGATGCTGATTTTAAACATAATAATTTTGGTGTTATAACGTTGTGTAACTCAATTCGTTCACAAATCGACTTTAGCGGTTATCTCTAGTAACTGTAAATACGTATATATATTGTAAGTATATATGTATGTATGTACGTGGCAGTGTTGAGTTGTTTTGTCTGCAATAACTAAACTTAAATGAAACAAAATGCAAGAATGTTAGAAGATTCTAATTGTATTGTTGAAACAACATTTCCATGCCATTATTATAACGACTGACTACTACAACTAAAACTACAATTGTTAGTTGCAACAAAAATAACAACAAGAACAACAATTAAACTTACGAACTCAAGTACAGTAAAAACAAGTTTAAGGAAAAGCAATAATAAAAACTCATTAGAGATTGAATTAATTTCAATTTCATTGCAAGCAGAAGGAAAAACACAAATTCATTGTAAAATTTCTTCACTTTTTTTTAATAAACTTTACTGCAGGCATAGAATATTGTATTGAATAGAAACAGAAGCGAAAGTAAA